GGCTTGGGAAAGGGTGTTACATTTTGTCTGGAGTGGAGAAGGTGAACTGAGATGCAAACAGCTCGTTCCCAGGCCACCAAATAAACGAGGTTTTAAGGAGCTCTTTGCTCTGTAGCTGTGCTTTAAATCTGCTGCTCCCTGTTGTTGCCCAAAGGTGAAGGTCTGTGTTGGTGCTGCTGGGCCTGAGTTACCCCCAAAATAACCCAACTGAGCTGAAACCTGCAGCGTTTTGGCTGAGCAGAGGTGATGCTTGACTTTAAATCCTGCCAAAGTCAAGGCAGAGTGAGCACAACACACACTGAGGGGGCAGCTCCTGGTCTCCTGGGCTCCACCAGGGTGGAAATCCTTGCCCTGAGGGAATGGCACCTTCCTGGCACAGCTGTGGCTCATCCTGCTTCCCGATGGAAGATCTTAATTCCTTATTTCCCCCCCCCTTTTTTTTTCACAGGCAGTTTAAGCTGCTGGGGGGTTTTAGAGCAGAGATTGTGTGTTGAAGTAGTTTTGTGTGTTGAAGGAGTTTTTCCTCCTGGTATCACCTTGGAGGAGGGGTTTCTGAGGAGTGTCCAGGCTGAGGGGTTGTGGGAGGGGTGCCTTGTTTTCCTGCCTTCTCCTGGAGCCAGGGAATTGCCCCCTGACCCGTGGAGTGGGTTCAGCCCCCCCTGGCTGGAGGGCTCTGCCCTCCCTCAGATAAAGCTGGTTTCTGCCTGGCAGATAAGAGCAGCTCTCCAGCTTTTGGCTGTGGAAAACACAGCTGAGGTGTTCCCAGCAACAGGCTCCTCTCAGCAGCTGAAGAATGAAAGCTCTGTCTCTCCTTGCCAAGATTCCCTCTGTTCTGGGGCTCCTTCCCAGCTCTGTTCAAAAACACCAGGCTCCAGGAATAATCAGCTGCCTTTTTTCTTGCAGGGCTTTGGGTTTAACCATTTCCCAGTGCCCTAATTCGGGTCAGGTCGTCCAAAAACCACGCCAAGAATTTGGATCTTTGTCCCGGGTTTTTGTTGGCAGGCCTGGGGTTTGTCTCAGGGGGAGGGTTTCTTTAAAGCTGAGGAAGGCTGGAAGAAAATTAAACTCTTCCAGATACTGTAATTTAGGGAGGCTTTTAGGCAGTGATTCCCTAAAAATAATTCCAATGGTTTCTGTCCAGGCCTTTAAGGGAAGGGGAGCTCTGGGCTGTTCACAGCTGATGTTTTGGGGCTGGGTTTGTGTGTGAGGAGATGGATGTGACTGGGGAGAGCTGGGGCTGCAGGGCACCTCTGGGCTCGATTTTTAACAGCTTAATCAAACTGGAAGGCAAAGATGGACCTCAAGGGCCCATCTGGTTGGAGTTCATCCCGTTCTGAGCGTTTCAGCCCTTTTTTTCCTGTGATTTCCTGTGATTTTCCTGTGGTGCTTTTGCTCCAAGGGTGATTTTGAAGCTGCAGTAATCTCAGTTTTTACCACATCTCTCTCTCTCTCTCTGTCAGACTCAATTGCTCAATTTAACAACAACAATTGAAGGGGAAACCTAATTGAGCAACTTCCCTGGGTCACTTCAGCCTGCCTGGGAAAATGTGTGAACCTTCCTGCAGGAGCTCTCTGGGTTTTCTCCTTCTTTGCTAATTACGTGCTTTCATTAGCCACGATAACGACATAATAAACCAAAAAAAGAAAAAAAAAAAAGGAGTTAGGAGCTGGATAACTGAGCAGTGAGGGCAGCTGGAATGTCTGGATGGAGTTGTACAAGGGGGCTTTACCTGAATGAAATGGAGATGATGCCCCAGAGGTGAACTGTGTCTGTGAGCTGAGGGTGGGATGTGCTGCTGCAACAACTCCCAATTACTCCGTTTAAAAAGCCTTTAATTTTCTGTCTGTGCCTTGTTTTCTCTCCCCTCAGCCCCAGTTTCTCCTGAATACAGTGAATTTTGTGAGCATCAGGGCCACAGTTTTGCCATTCCCTGTCCCGGGGCTCGGGACTATTTCGGTGATTCCCTCTGGGGTTGTCGGGGGGGGAAAAAAAGCAAATATTTCTCAGCAAACAGCTGCTGGTGCTGTTTGCTTTGCTCTGCTTTGCTTTGCTGGGGAGATGATAATTCCCTCAGAAATCTCAGGGCTCTGGGACAGGTCTGAATTCCACCGGGGAGCATCACCCAGACGTGTTTTCCGGTGGTCACGGAATTGTTGAGGTTGGAAAAAAAACCCCTCAAGGACAATTATAACAAATATCATTTTAAAGCATGGTGGTTATGAAAATATGGTTATGAAAATATGGTTAGGAAAATATGGTTATGAAAATATGGTTAGGAAAATATGGTTAGGAAAATATGGTTAGGAAAATATGGTTAGGAAAATATGGTTAGGAAAATATGGTTAGGAAAATATGGTTAGGAAAAGATGGTTAGGAAAAGATGGTTAGGAAAAGATGGTTAGGAAAAGATGGTTAGGAAAAGAATCAAATTAAATAGCTGGAATTCAGCATCGTGGCCGGAGTCAGGAGTGTTTGGGAACCCTCACCCTCTCTGGCAGTTTGCCAACCTGGGATTGCCCAGGAATGCCACGGAAAGCTGGGAAAAGGGAAGGGGAAACCCTTTGTGCACCCCCTGGATGTGGGCAGTGAAGGTTGTTTTAGTGCCCAGGTGCTCCCGGAGCTGTTGGAACATCAGGATAGACCTGGAAAAGCCACCCCAGGCAGAGCTTTGCCATCCTAATAACCTGAATTTTCTGGGGTGCTGAAGGGGAGGAGGGGCCTGAGCTTCCCTATTTTTTCCCCAGTTTGGGAAATCTTTGATCTGTGTTGACCCAGGCAGTTTATTCTGCTGGATGTGCAGGAAGTGCTCTGCCCTGTCCATAAATGATGGTGGATTTTGGTGTAAAAGCACGGAGTGTGTTACTCATTAAACCCCTTTAACTTCCAAACTCCCCTCTGCCAGCAGTTTTTCCTGCCTGATTCCTGGGGGGAATGGTTTGCTCTGCCCTGGGGATCCAGATGTGTGACAGGGCCTTGTGTAACTCCCATAGAAATAACCCAGTGGTGTGTCATAAAAAAAAATTACACCTAATCCACAGCTATTTTTTTTTTCCTGGCTGCCTGTGGCTTTGTAAACACAGGGAATGGCTGTGTTGGGAGCAGGATGAAACACAGGGATTTAAAAAAAATACCCACGTGGCTTTCAGTGGATTACTTAATGAGCCAGTCAGGGTGATACGTGTGCAGGATGATGTTACAAATTCACCCCCAAACTTTAAATTCACCCTTCAGATTTGAACATGACCTTTGTTCTGTGTGGCTCCAGTAAATGTGCATTATTGGTCAAAATGACTCCCTGGCATCAGAGCCCAAAATAAAATACAGCTGCCTTGCTTTCCTTCAGCAAAAAAATAATAAATAAATGCTATTTTTGCCTCGAGGCCTCTGCATGTTTAGAGCCTGTGTTTCTGCAGAGCCATGTGGACAGTTTAATGTGTAAAACTGGGCATACAACAGGTGTTTGTGAGCTCAGGGCACTAAAAATAAAAGAGGGACGTGTCTGAGTGGGCTGAAAGACAATATGGTGGGGTGAATGCATCTCATCCCTGTGCCTATCCCAAAATAAAGTCAAGGGCTTAACATCAGTTCTGCAAATCCCCTCTCAGGCATCTCTTTCTCAATCCATCTTTAAAAGAAAGTTGTGGTTTGCATCCCTAAGCCCTTTAGCACGATTTCTATTTTTGGGGGGGGGTGTGTGTGTGTCTGTGTGTTATTTTTGGCAGAGATAAATCTGATATCGTGACCTACATTCCTTTGTTGGAGCCAGGGAGGGGAAATGTCTCCACCTGTGATTTCTTTGGTGCCTTGGCTGAAAGGCTTTTATTTCATTTTACAATGAGTTTTCCCAAGCAGGGGAGATAAGGAGGAGTGAGAAGGGGAGGGAAATGACTGCAGGTAGCAGTGAGAAATAATTAACTGCTCTTCAAAATAATTAAGTGCTCTGCTCTGCTGTGTCATGGGATCATCCCTGGGCTTGATCCTGGAGGGAGTTTTTGTTCCCAGGGCCAAACTTCTGCGAGGGAACCTTCTGGGTGCCAACACTGCTGATGTTTGGGTTGTGTCAGGTGTTATTTCTTGTTCAAATTTGGAGTTATTGCTCTCTGAGCGACATCTTTTTTTGGAAAACCCCCTCAGGAGCTGGAAACACGTGGGTTTGTGTCTTCCCAAAGCTCCAGCAGGGGAAGAGGAGCTTCAGGGTGACCTGATTGTGGCCTTCCAGGACCTGAAGGAGCCAACAGGAAAGATGGAGAGGGATTTTGGGCAAGGAGTGGAGTGACAGGACAAGAGGGAATGGCTTTTCCCAGCGCCAGAGGGCAGGGAGAGATGGGATATTGGGAAGGAATTCCCCCCCTGGGATGGAATTCCCAGAGAAACTGTGGCTGCCCCATCCCTGGGAGTGCCCAAGGCCAGGCTGGAGCACCCTGGGATAGTGGGAGGTGTCTCTGCCCGTGGCAGGGGGTGGGAATGGATGAGTTTTAAGGTCCTTCCGACCCAAACCAGTGTGGGATTCTGGGATGTTTGGCATTAAAGGTGCCCAGGGTCCATCATCCCAAACTGGTGCTGCAGGAGCTGCCTCTGCTTTGCCTTTAATATCTGCTGGAGAGGGAAGGGTGGCACTAATTTATGGGAGACACGAGGGGGGGGGAAAAAATAGGTCAGCAAGTCTGAAAGGTGCTGACAAGCATAAAATACCTGGAGATTGTTAAAAAGGAGGGGGAAAAAAAGGAGCCTGAAGGTGGTTTTTCCAAGCCAGGCATCAGAGGGAGCAGGAGTGAAGTGACTTGCTGAGGGGCAGGATCTGTTTGGGAATTCAGATTTCCTGAGAGCACGTTCCTGGGAAGGAATCCAGGGTGGCACCGAGGCTGTTGGAACAGCTTTGTGGCTTGGAAAACTGCTCCCTGTTGTCACAGACCCTTTTGAGGAGGGGTTCACCACCTCTCTGTGCTGCCCCAGGGTTTTTCCAGCTGCAGCTCTTCCCATTTCTGGAGATTTAAAAATTAAAAAAAAAAAAAAAAAAAAAGCGACTGCGTGGTGCAAAAAAAATCGCCCTGTAAAAAGCAGAAATGTTGGAAATTTAAAGCTAAAAACAAGTGAAAAGCTTCTCTTTAAAGCACTCTCTCTGCATCTACACTGTGCAGCTCCAACTGGCTGGTATTTCTGCTTTTTATGGTGCAGCTGGGAGGAGAGGGAGCCCTAAAATCACTGATGTGCTGCTTCAGGTCGGATCCCTGGTGTCATCAGAACAGCCTTTCTGGCACGTGTGAGCCACTGGATCTCTCTCTTCCCTAAAATAACCTCCACTTGCTCCTGCCAGGCTTTGGGGACTTGCTCCTGGGACTGGTTTTTTTCCCCCACTTTTTCCAGGGTAGGGGTTTAAATTTCCAATGTCTGGTTGCTCAGCAGTGAGATATCAACCAAAATCCTGCCTGTAAGAGGACAGGGCAGGGCCTGACCCTTCTCCCTGGAAATGAGGGATATTTTGGTGGTGTTGCTTGCAGCTGAGTTCCTCTTGGGGTGGAAAGGGTGGGTGTAATGGACACAGGTTTGATGTGGCACCAAAGTACCCCCCACACATCCCTTTACACCTTAAAGGAAGGGAATTGCACGAGGATCCTGGAAATGCTCTTCCCTTGGGAGCTTGGAGAGGGGTTTCCTGCTGGAAACAGCCCTGGGAGCGTGTCAGTCCTTCCTGTGCTTTCACTACCTGGATATTCCCTATTTTTGACGCTTTTCCTTGGTTTTTATTCCCCCATGTAGGAGCCAGAACTCTTCTGCCCCCTTGGAAGCGCGACTGGTAATGGGTAATGGTGTGAGAGAGGGTCCAGTGGAATTCCCAAAGGATGTGGAGCCAGTCACAGCAGCCCATCTCCCAGCAGAGGTGAGAGCACGAGGGGCTGGGGAGCCAAAAGCAGCGTGGGAAGGGGGGGATTCTGAGACCCCACCTGGAATCCTGCATCCAGCTCTGGGGTCTCCAGCACAGGAAGGACGTGGAAGCTGCTGGAGAAAACCCAGAGGAGGCACCAAGATGATCAGAGGGCTGGAGCAGCTCTGCTGGGAGAGCTGGGATTGGTCAGCCTGGAGGAGAGAAGCTTTGGGGTGACCTGATTGTGGCCTTCCAGGACCTGAAGGGGCTACAAGAAAGATGGAGAGAGACTTTGGAGAAGGGCCTGGAGTGCCAGGACGAGGGGGAATGGCTTCAAACTGACAGAGAGTAGGGTTGGAGGGGATATTGGGAAGGAATTCTTCCCTGGGAGGATAGTGAGGGACTGAGGCTGTGGCTGCCCCATCCCTGGAAGTGTCCAAACCCAGGATGGGGCCTGGAACAACCTGGGCTGGTGGAAGCTGTCCCTGCCCGTGGCAGGGGGTGGCACTGGATGGGTTTTCATGTCCTTCCAACCCCAGGCAGCCTGTGATTTGAGCTCTGGGGTGCTGGCAGAGCTGCAGGGCGTGTGCCAGCCCTGGAATGTGTAACTTGTGTTCCTCTGGGGAGAGCCAAGAGTTTCCATCCCCTTGGGAAGAGGCGTCGCTGGCACTGCCAGGCAGGGCTGGGTTCCCTTGTTGTGTCCTGCTGGCAGAGCTGGGACCAGGGCCACGAGCCTGGGTGTCCCTGCTCCTGCTGCTCCTGCTGCTGGATTCACTGGAAACCCTGGAAGAGGAGGGGATGCTGAACCTTGGTCTGGTTTAGCCCCAAGCTCAGGCTGAAGTTCACCTTCACGTGGCTGCCCTTGCCTTCAGCCCCGGGCAGGCAGAGATGGGAGGGGAAATCCAGGGATTTGGGTAACAAACATTAACTTTTTTAGTTGTGAAACGCTCTGAGAAAAAGGGAGATGTTAACTCCTCTTCTCCACAGCCACACAGAGCGTGTCAGAAGCTCACATTAAGCCTCGTGTCACAGTCTGGAGCCTCCACAGTGTTGGATTTCATTTACTTGCTCCCTGTCTGTGTGATGGGAGAAAAGAGCTGCTTTATAAACATGAGCTGGGGCAGGAATGCCAGTAACAAACCCACTGCCATCCCATTCAGCAGAGTAGGAAACCTGCCTGGTTTTATCCTTGGGAACCATGTGGGAACAGGGCTGGGGTGTCACTGGGAGAACCTTGGGGAGAAATGGTGGGGAGGGAGTGGCTGAGCTCTGAGAAGGAGAAATAACAGAGAGAAGGTAGGAGGTGGCAGATCTTGGAATTTTGCTTCCTGATCTGCTCAGGAATTCACTGTGCCAGAAATTTAGGAAAGCATTTTGACCCAAATCCTGGAGAAAGGGGGGGTAAAAGCTGCAGCAGAGGTGAAGTGTTTTTCCTTGTGCTTAGGGCTGAACAATGCTTTGTTCCAGGATAACCAGGAGAAGAAGAAAGTGCTCAACTCCCTGATGTCTGGTGCATTGGCTGGTGCTGTTGCTAAAACTGCAGTGGCTCCCCTGGATAGGACAAAAATCATGTTCCAAGGTGAGTCCTGTGGGCTTTTCCAAAAATACTCTTAATTCTTGTTGGCAGGACCCAAAGCAGCGCCCCTGACCTGCTCAGCCAGCCTGTTCTCCAGTGCTCCAAGGGGAATAGGAGGAGCTGTGGAGGCACTGGAGGCAGGGAATTGAGGGGTTGGACTTTCCTGCCCCTGAGTTGGTTTGGGGGGAGCTGAAGTTAGTGATGGAAATACTGCAAGAGGCACAGGAGCTGCATCCCTGGGTTTGTGTTGCAGAGCCCTCCTTGGAACCCCTGAACTGTGGAACAGAAAATTGCCAGGTGTTCAGCAGGATTTGGGATTCAGCCCCGTCCTGGGCTCTGTTTGGTCCCCCTGTCCCAGTGCAGGGACTGACGGCTCCACTAATTATCCCAGAGGGATAATTAACAGCACAGGCTGTTGATTGAGGAGACATTTGGTAAAGGCAGGAATTTTAAAGCTGGTTGACGTCCCAGATTAACTGAATTGGGTGGGTTTAACCTGATCCCTGGCTGACATTTAATTTGGGATTGGCTTTCATGTGATGTGATTTTCCCTGTGGACACAGCCAGGGCTGAGGGATGGCAGGGATGTGGATCAGGGGGATTAAAGCCTGGGCTGGGATTGCCCCTGGGAGCAGATGCTGGAGCAGCAGGGAGGACATGCTCTGCTTTCCCACCACAGCTCACCCCCTGGTTCATCCCAGGTTGGAGATGTGGGATGGAACCACAGGACTGGGCTGGGTCAGCAGCTGACCCGAAATCCCTGGAATTCAGACAGGCCACGTTTATAAAAATACCTGTTTGCTTTGGCCCATCCCACTCACTGCAAAGGGTGTGATCCAAATGTTCCCATTTGAGCAATCTCTTAGTTCCTAATGGATTTTTTAGCTTCTTGCTCTTCCCTGTCCGAGCAGGGGCAAAGCACCTTTGGGATATTACCTGGATATTTCCTATTTTTGACACTTTTGCTTTGGGTTATTGAGTGGAGGAAGGTTGTCCCTTAACTAGAGACTGAAAAATGGGGCTCTGAGCAACCTGGGCTAGTGGAAAGATGGTCTTTAAGGTCCCTTCCAACCCAAATCCTCCTGGGCTTCCACAATTCTCTGAATTTTCCTGTGGCAGAGGGAGAAGAGCTGCTTCTTTTCCATCACAATTGTGTTTATTTCTGAAAAAAAAAAAACAAACCCAAAAGTGATGAATGGCATAAAGGAGCAGGGGGGTGAAAATGCATTTGCATGTGATCCTTGGATGCACTCGAGAGGTTCCAAGTCTCAGATGAGTGAGGGAGAAGCTGCAGCAGCTGCTTAATTGGGCCCACGTTTGGTTTGGAGCCTGGGCATGGAAATGCTCTGCTGAAATATTGGGGTTTGAATTAATTTTGTATTTATTCCTTTGTTTCAGTGGCGTGTGGCACGAACTGAACGTTTTCCCAACTTCTGTGCTGGTTACCAGTGTTAAGCCTTTATTATAAAACAATCCCTGCTTCCTCCTGCATTAATTCTTTTGCTTCTCTTTTTATATCCCTCGGATAAAACACCTGTATGGTTTATTAATTTACCAAATGTTTATTTATATTCGATCCATCTAAATGTATTGCAAGACCTAATGTTCCTTTTTTTTTTTGTTTTTTCCCCTCCTTTTAGTGTCTTCAAAAAGATTTTCTGCCAAGGTGAGGTGATGTGTCTTGTCTGCTGTTGCCCTGAAGCGTTTGATTAATGGCAGTAATAGCTCCAACTGCATCTTTTGTTTGCCTTTTTTTTTTAACTTTCTTGCTTGGGATTTATTAGGAGGACTCAGTGGAAAGCACAGAGGGAAAGACTGGGAGTGGTCTTGTTTATTATAGGGCAGTTTTTAATCAGATTGTTGGTGGCACAGAGGGGCTCAGTCCTTGCTCATGCTCTGGGTTTTATCCGACATTAAGTGTGAGGGAGCTGGGAGTGGGGATGGACAGGGAGCTGAACAGGAGCCAGAGTGTGCCCAGGGGGACAAGAGGGCCAATGGATCCTGGCCTGGCTCAGGAACAGGGTGGCCAACAGGGCCAGGGAAGTGATTCTTGCCCTGGACTCAGCACTGGTGAGGCCACCCCTGGAGTGCTGTGTCCAGTTCTGGGCCCTCAGCTCAGGAAGGACATGGAGGGGCTGGAGCAGGTCCAGAGGAGAGCAACGAGGCTGGGGAAGGGACTGGAGCACAAGTGCTGGGAGGAGAGGCTGAGGGAGCTGGGGGGGCTCAGCCTGGAGAAGAGGAGGCTCAGGGGAGACCTCCTCACTCTCTGCAACTCCCTGACAGGAGGGGGGAGCCGGGGGGGGGTTGGTCTCTTTTCCCAGGCAACCATCAGCAAGACAAGAGGGCTGGGTCTGAAGCTGTGCCAGGGGAGGGTTAGGTTGGATATCAGGGAGAATTTCTTTGCAGAGAGGGTGCTCAGCCATTGGAATGGGCTGCCCAGGGAAGGGGTGGATTCTCCATCCCTGGAGGTTTTTAAGCTGAGACTGGATGTGGCATCAGTGCCATGGGCTGGGAACCACAGCGGGGTTGGATCAAGGCTTGGATTGATGATCTCAGAGGTCCCTTCCAACCCAGCTGGTTCTGTGATTCTCTGATTCTGTGACAATCACCCCTTCCCCCGGGATTTTTCGGGTAACCCCCTGCTCCTCCCGTGTCCTGCAGGAGGCTTACAGGCTCATCTACCGCACCTACCTCAACGAGGGCTTCTGGAGCCTCTGGAGAGGGAACTCGGCCACCATGGTCCGCGTGGTCCCCTACGCCGCCATCCAGTTCTGCGCCCACGAGGAGTACAAACAGCTCCTGGGGAGCTACTACGGCTTCCAGGGAAAGTAAGGAGGAGGGAAGAGCGTGGAGCAGCCTGGAGGGAGGCAGCTCTGGGCAGGGCTGCTGCCCCGGGGGCAGCTCTGTTGGCACAGGGCTGTGCCAGCCCCTCTCGGGGTGGTGTGCTTAAAGAACAGTGTGTTGGGGGGCAAGGGAAGGATGGAGTCAGGAACAGGGTGTTTGGGGGATTAACGGAAGGATGGGGTCAGGAATAGTGTGTTTGGGTGGCTAATGGAAGGATGGGGTCAGGAATGGGGTATTTGGGGGATTAATGGAAGGATGGGGTCAGGAATGGGGTGTTTTGCGGAGGCAATAGAAGGATGGGGTCAGGAATGGGGTGTTTGGGGGCCTGAGGGAAGGATGGGGTCAGGAATGGGGTGTTTGGGGGCCTGAGGGAAGGATGGGGTCAGGAATGGGGTGTGTGGGAGGCCAAGGGAAGGATGGGATCAGGAACAGGGTGTTTGGGGGATTAATGGAAGGATGGGGTCAGGAATGGGGTGTTTGGGTACAGGGAGAGCGGAGATTCAGGGTCAGGCAGAGCAGGGATTTGGGAGCAGGCAGAGCAGGGATTTGGGAGCAGGCAGAGCAGGGATTTGGGAGCAGGCAGAGCAGGGATTTGGGAACAGGGAGAGCAGAGCCATTCTCCAAAGCTTTTCCCTGTCCAGGTGATGTGTTTGGTCTGTTCTGTCCCCTCCTGCAGGGCCCTGACCCCCTTCCCTCGGTTCATCGCCGGCTCCCTGGCGGGCACCACGGCTGCCATGGTCACCTACCCCCTGGACATGGTCCGTGCCCGCATGGCTGTCACGCCCAAGGAGATGTAAGTGCCTCACAACAACCCCTGCAGCCACCACCACAATGCACAGCTTTTGGTTTTTTAAGGCCAGATACCCTTTCTTCCAATTTTCTGGTTCTTTTTTTAAGGTCAGATGCCTTTATTCCCATTTCCTGGCTCTTTTTTTTTTTTTTTTTTTTTTTTTTTTTAAGATCATGTGACTTTAATCCCATTTTCTGGATTTTTTTTCCTTAAGGTCAGATGCCTTCATTCCCATTTCCTGGGTCGTCTTTTCCAAGGTCACATGACTTTATTCCCATTTTCTGGAATTTTTTTTTTCCAAGGTCAGATGCCTTTATTCCCATTTTCTGGATTTTTTTTTCCAAGGTCAGATGCCTTTATTCCCATTGTCTGTGTCTTTTTTTTCCAAGGTCAGATGCCTTTATTCCCATTTTCTGGATTTTTTTTCCCAAGGTCAGATGCCTTTATTCCCATTTTCTGTGTCTTTTTTTCCAAGGTCAGATGCCTTTATTCCCATTTTCTGTGTCTTTTTTTTCCAAGGTCAGATGCCTTTATTCCCATTTTCTGTGGTTTTTTTTTTTTTTTTAAGGTCGGCTGCCTTTACTCCCTTTTTCTGGCTTTTTTTTTTAAGATCACATGACTTTATTCCCATTTTCTGGATTTATTACTTTTTTTTAAGGTCAGCTGCCTTTACTCCCACTTTCTGGATCTTTTTTTTTTTAAGGTCAGATGACTTTATTCCCGTTTTCTGGGTCACTTCTTGCTCAGAGCCTTTGGTGCAATAAACCTCTTATTGCTGGGGCTCTGAGCACTGATTTGGAAGGAGATGGATACTGGGAGACCTCACTGCTGGAAACTCTGTCTTGGTTCTTTAGGAGACACCTGGTGCTTCCAGAAAGATCCAGCAGGCAGGACACAAGTGGTGGAAGGGCTGTGGGAGAGCCACGGTTGGTGTCTGTGTTTGCTGCTGAAATCCCTTCTGAGCTGTCTGATGAGCTCAGGGCCCAATTAATTAATTGCTGATCCTTCAGAAAGTGCTGTTGGGAATATTTCCTGGGGTGTGCAGCCTCTGAGCAGCACAGCTTTGCTCTCCCTTGGCAGGTACAGCAGCATTGTCCACGTCTTCATCCGGATATCCCGGGAGGAAGGGCTGAAAACCCTGTACAGGGGGTTCACCCCCACCATCCTGGGGGTCATCCCCTACGCCGGGCTCAGCTTCTTCACCTACGAGACGCTGAAGAAAGTCCATGCAGGTAAAGCTTTGCTTTTTGGGGGAGGCTTTGGGGCCAACTCCAGGTGTTTGGGTTGAGGAGGTGCAGGTAAAGGTTTGGGGGAGGCTTTGGGGCCAACTCCAGGTGTTGCAATTAGGGGGTGCAAGTAAAGGTTTGGGGAAGGGTTTGGGGCCAACTCCAGGTGTTGGAATTGGGGGGGGCAGGTAAAGGTTTGCTTTTTGGAGGAGACTTGAGGCCAACTGCAGGTGTTGCAATTAGGGGGTGCAAATAAAGGTTTGGGGCTGGCTTTGGGGCCAACTGCAGGTGTTGCAATTAGGGAGTGCAAGTAAAGGTTTGATTTTTGGGGGTGGCTTTGGGGTCATCTCCAGGTGTTGAAGTTGAGGGGACAGGCAGAGGTTTTGGAGAGGCTTTGGGGCCAACTCCAGGTATTTGGACGGGGTGGGGCAGGTAAAGGTTTGGGGGAGGCTTTGGGGCCATCTCCAGGTATTTGGACTGGGGGGGTGCAGGTAAGGGTTTGCTTTTTGGGGGTGGCTTTGGGGTCATCTCCAGGTGTTGGAATTGAGGCGGTCCAGGCAAAGGTTTGGGGCTGGCTTTGAGGCCATCTCCAGGTGTTTGGATTGGGGGGGTGCAAATCCTTCCCCTGCCCTTGGAGCCAGCTGCAAAGTGGCTTTGTGGAGCTTTGGGAGCCTCTTTACCCGCAGGCAAACTGTACCTTGCAGAAGCGACGAGAAGCCGCAATTCCCGGGCGCGGGAAGGACTCGGGGCCCCAAAACCCCCCCCCCGGGAGCGCCGGATTCGGGCGCTCCCTCTTCCCGCTTTCCCACCTTCTGCCGCTCTCTCCCTGGCAGATCACAGCGGGAAGGCCCAGCCCTCCCCTCCGGAGAGGCTGCTCTTCGGGGCCTGTGCGGGGCTCATCGGGCAGTCGGCCTCCTACCCGCTGGACGTGGTGCGGCGGCGGATGCAGACGGCCGGGGTGCTGGGCCACACCTACAGCTCCATCCTGCTCACCATGAGGGACATCGTCAGGGAGGAGGGACTCGTCCGGGGCTTGTACAAAGGCCTCAGCATGAACTGGGTCAAAGGGCCCATCGCGGTGGGAATCAGCTTCACCACCTTCGACCTGACGCAGATCCTGCTCCGCAAGCTGCAGCACGGCGGCGGCGAGGAGAGGTAGTGCTTGAACCCCCGCAGCCCCCGGCCAGGGGAAACGTCCCAAACTGTGTAGAAAGAGCCCTCGCCTCGCCCGTGCCCTCCCACAGCTCCAGAACTCACCTGCCTTGGTTTGGGTTTCCTGTTGTTCCTGGATTTTTTTTATTTTTTTTTTTTTTGGTCCTTTTTAACGAGCCCTCTCGAGTCCCTCGGAAACCTCCAAGGGCCCATCGCGGTGGGAATCAGCTTCACCACCTTTGACCTGCCACAGATCCCGCTCCGTGAGCTGCAGCACGTGGAGAGGTAGTGCTTGAACCCCCTCAGCCAGGGGAAGAGCCCCAAACCGTGTAGAAAGAGCGATGCTCTCCCGCAGCTCCAGAACTCACCTGCCTTGTTTTGGGTTTCCTGTTGTTCCTGGATATTTTTTTTATTATTATTTTTTTTTTTTTGGTCCTTTTAACGAGCCTCTTGAGTCCCTCGGACACAGTGGGAATCAGCTTCACCACCTTTGACCTGCCACAGATCCTGCTCCATGAGCTGCAGCACGTGGAGAGGTAGTGCTTGAACCCCCTCAGCCAGGGGAAGAGCCCCAAACCCTGTAGAAAGAGCGATGCCCCCGTGCCCTCCCACAGCTCCAGAACTCACCTGCCTTGTCTGGGTTTCCTGTCCTTCCTGGATTATTTTTTTTTATTATTTTATTATTTTTTGTTTTGGTCCTTTTTAACGAGCCCTCTCGAGTCCCTCGGAAACCTCGACCCCGAACAAAATCCCTCCGACCCCGCAGAGCTGAGTCCTCCAAAGCAGCTGCCTCGCCCCTTCTGCCTGACTCTGGTGCCAGGAGTGGAGCTTCCCAAACCAACCCGTGCTGCTCCCGCTCCCCCCCTGGGCCCCCTGGGCAGAGGAGGCGGTGGAGGATGGAAGAGGGGACTCGGTGCTGTTGGAATGACCCCCTGGATGTGGGAAGCGGCGGCTGCTGCTCCTGGCAGGCAGTTTGGAGCTCCCAGAGCACGTGTGAGCTGGAGGCAGCCTGCCAAGTGCAATATTCCAGTCAGTCTGGAGGGAATTCCACGTGTTCCTGCGAGCTGGGAGCGTGCTCTCCACGGAGCAGGGCCGGGACACTGCTCTTGTCCTGGAAGGTGAATGTTTCTCTGCCCTTCTCCAGTTGTTTCTCTCACTTTTGGGTTGAGTTGCATAAATCCCCCTTGTTTGTGGTGTCCCTCTGAGATTACCAAAGACTGTGGACAGCAGGGGAGGGAAGTTCTGAGCCGTTTGGGGAATGGAATTCTCGTGTGTGTTGTCCTTGTTGTCGGGTCAGGGCTGGGCCTGGATTCCCAAACTGGATTGACTCAAACTGCAGTCACGTGCTGGGGCTGCCCAAACCCTTCCATGTTGTCCTGGTCTGGAGGCAGCGTTTTCCAAGGGATTTAACAGTGTTGATGCCCTAGGAGAGGGTGTTACATCCTTACAGTTCAAGCAGTTTTATCCTTCAGTATTATTGTTGCTGCTCTATGCACCACGTGAGAACAAACACCTGACTTTGCTGTCCCAAAAAAAAGCTGTCCCTGTGTGGTGGAACCAGCCTGGGAGCTGATTCCAGCTTCTGGCATTGCTTCTGAACAACCTTTTTGTCTTTTGGTACCTGCTGTGTAGGTCGTGTCAGCTCTGTTTGTTAATCCACACCTCATCCCACCTGCTTTCCCATTCCTAAAATTCTCCTGGACCAGCTTGGTCCTTGGGATTCTGGGCACCACAGCCAGTGCTGACCCTTCAGAAATGATCTATGTAGTGCCAATCACTTCCACTGGTAATTTGAAAATTAATGGTGAAGAAGCTTTTGGTGTTTCTATTTCAAATCAGTTTTCAGGGAAATGGAGATTTTGGGGGTGGGGTTGTTCTGTAATCCATTCCTCTTATTAAATTTGGAGTGCAAGAGAGGTCAGAGAAAACTTCAGGCTTCCCTGAGAATCAGATTACCTGTACCAAGATAAAAAATCCCTCCTTAGCCCTGCACAGTCCATAATGTATAAAAGAAAAATGAGGCATAAATTAGAATCTGTCCTTTCCTGGTGTTTGCACTTCAGCTGTTGTAGCTTGAGCCTTGTGTCACGGATTAATGGGAATGGAGGGAATTGCACAGCTGGTAGAGGCAGCCTTCTCCTTTCTTTTGTCTTTGCACTTGTTCTTTGGAGCAGAACTTGCTTCTAATGCCAAATATTTCCTTAGGAATCAAGCACCTCCCCTTGCACGTTGTGGCCGTGGCCCAGGGCCAGCACACTGAGGTGTTAACGTGTTGTTCCCAGAGCTGGGATGGACCAGACCTTACTGGCTGGGTGTCAGCCTCGGTAACTTCTGCCTCCAGGCCCAGAAATGGTGATTTGTGCATCCCTTGACTGCAGCCCCTGATCTGTGATTAGAGAACTGTCAGTGGGGGGGTGTGAGAGCCCGTGGAGATGATGGCCCTGAGCTCTGGGTGTCCTTTGCTCCTGCTGCTGCCAGAAGGTGTTCTCAGCTCTTCTCCTCCCTCGGCTGAAGCTTTGCTCAGTCCTTGCAAGAGCTCCTGATTTCTTTTCTCCAATGGAGAAGCCCAGTTATCCCGCTCTTGTCTCTCCCTTGTCCAGCCCGGGAAGGAAATCCTTGCTTCCCAGGCGTGTGAGCAGTTGTCTGTGTGTCTGTGTGTCCAGTCCATGCCCATCCCCTCCCAGCCTGGACAGCTCCTTCCTTTCTGCACAGCCCTGGAGGAGGAGGAGGAGAAGGAGAAGCTGGACTGTGGCATCCAGGTTGGAGCTGCTTCCTTTGCTCCGTGGAATTAGTGGATCATCCCAGAGCGTCACTGAACCCCTGTGGCCACAGAGGTGCTTTAACTCCTCCTGAGAAAGGATTTCCTGGGTGACTGGGAGTGAATGGGAGGGCAGATCTGCACAGGGAATCTTCTGCCCTGGCAGGAGTGCAGCCAGTGGATTGAGTGGATGGGAATCCCCTGGAAGAGGCTGAGCCTGGAACCCCCCCCTCGCAGCCAGAACCTGGAGCTGAGGAACAAGCACAGCCAAACTTGGAAGCACTGGGCCAAGAGAAGTTGTTCCTTAAATTAGCAGCTGCACCTGATTGTGATTCAGTGGAATTTGAGCCAAACCTGTTTTTCCAAGTTCTGCAGGCTGAGTGTTCGTTCGGAGGCAGAGCTTTGGATTCAGTCCGGGGTGGTTTTGGTGCTTTTGTTTCTTGGGCAGAAGTGTTTGAAGTAACTGTGTGTTACTGCTTTGGGTTGTTTTAAATAGTGGGGGTGGGGTTTTTTTTGTTCCTTTCTCTGATTTGAATGTAGAAAAGGAGAAACAGAGTGTTCTCTTCCCTTCTCTTACTCCTTGCATGAACTGAGACACGTTCCAGATCTCTCTGCTGCCTGGAATGAGGGGTCCTGCTTTGGGAAGGGGGGTCTCTGTGTGCTGGCCAAGAAGGTCCTTTGCCTTTAGCCCTGAGAAAGGAGACAGGTCAAACAGGAATATCCTCTACTCCTTCTTTTCTTCAGAACTTCTTTGCTACTGCTGCAATTCCCCCGTTTTTCATTTCGTTCCCCTCGAATTGCTTTGGATTCCCGAGTCGCGTTTCCCGCCGTTCCTTTAACGTGTTACAGCCAGGCAGGAATTTGTGCTTTTTTTTCTCCCTCCCTCCTGCTTCTGCACCTTGAGCCCTGCACTAGCACTTCGAGAAAATCAGGTCCAATAAATGCATCCAAAATGACAAAACTGCAGCTCTCCAGCGGCGCCCGAACAGCCCGACCCCGTCCCCCCCTCGCAGGCCTCGGTGCTCCTGGGGGGGGCCAGGAACTTACAGGCACTGAGTGATGGGAAGGAAGGGGTTTTTTTTGGAAGTTTTTTGGTCCAGTTTAGCACCTTCCCTTGTCCCAGCCCCTTCCCTTAAGGAGCTGAGATGCTGCTGCTGCTCCGTGTCGTTTCCTCGCGGTACCTCCAAGGATGCCCCGTTTGCTCCCTGGGAGTGGCTGCTGGCTGGAAGGTGCCTCCTTGGGAAGAGCTTGGGAAGCTCAGAGGGTCACTTGAGGATGTGGGAGGCAGGATCTGAGCTGGCTTCTTGTTTGCCTGGCGTGGCTGGAGGGCGGTGGCACCGTGGTGGGAGGGTCGGGAGAGGAGTCCCGGCCTCCCGGGCTGGGCAGTGTGGGGCTCCCTGGGAGCTCTCCAGGAGCAGCTCCATAACTTCCTGTGGCACTTCCCTTTGCCTTCCACCTGGAAGGACTCGAGCACCATCTTCACCCTCTTGTCTTTTAACCCAAAAGCAGATGAAAGGAGACTTTGAGCAGAGGTGACGTGGCAGCGCCGAGCGAGGCCGGTGCCGGTCCTGGGCGGGCAGGGAATGTGCTGGGATCCTTCCCAGGGGGATTCCCCAGTGCCTGACTGGGTTCCTGGGCTCTGCAGGTACTTCCCAGGTTCCTGGCTGGGTTCCTGGGCTCTGCAGGTACTTCCCAGGTTCCTGGCTGGGTTCCTGGGCTCCTCAGAGAGCTGGGGGTACATTCTGGGCTCTCCCCACCAGGACTGGGCCGGAGGAGGAGGAGGTGGCCTTCCTACAAAACAGCCTTTTTTTTGGATCTTGTAGGGGCTGTTTCCTCCTGTTCTGTCCCCCCCTGGAATGCCATGCCCTGCAGGGTTTCCCAGCACTGCTCACTGCCTGTGTGGTCTATGCATTTATTAGCACAAACACTGTTAAAATGCCTTTTGTGTCCTCACCATCAGTGCGTGTGTGTGTGTGTGTGTGTGTGTCGATTTTGACTGCTTTTCTTGGATCTGGAGTTCTATTTTATTGCAGTGAAGACACTTTGTTATATATATAATGTTTATATATTTTAAGATTTGTGCCAAGAGAGGATGTATATTTAATAATAAAAAAATCAAATTGACTCGCAGGCTCCCCGGGGGTGTCTCGTGTTCCACGCTGAGGGGGGGTCCCACAACCCGGGGTGGGTTTGTTGGGAGGGGCTTTGCAGGGAAGTTGGGAGAAGCCTGGAAGGAGGGAAAGGAGCCCTGGGGCTGGTTCAGGCCCTGCCGTGGTGTGGGACAGGGACACGGGGCCGGGTGTGTGGTGGCAGCAGGTGGCACTGTCGGCTTAGCCACGGCCTGGTGGCTTCCCCCAGGTTGGGGACCCCCAGCTGCTGCCAGTTTGGGGGGGTTTTGGTGTTTTCCAGCCGCATTCCAGGCCCGGTGTGGATGTGGCACCCAGTGCAGTGCAAGGTAAGGAGGTCAGAGCAGGGAGGACGAGTCCAGCCCTCCCAGAGCAGCCTCCCTGTATCCCATTGCTGTTCCCTGGGATGTCCCATTGTATCCCGAGGGAAATCGAGACCCAGAGGCTCAGACTTGCCCTGAACCTCGTTGGAGGTGCTCCCTGTCCATCTTCCCTGGAGCAGGACCAGCTCCAGCCTTCCTTTGGCTTCCTGGCTCCCTGTGTTTGGGAACCATCCACCCTGGATCGCCTTGGGCTGCCAGCCCTGGGGAGAGCTGCTCCCAAATTCCCTCCAGGCTGCTCCAAGCAGCTCTGCAGGGTGGTGGGGGGGTCCCAGTGTGGATGGGAGAGGGCTGGGGGAAGGCAGAGCTCCGAGTGTGGCTCAGGGAGGCCGGTGGAAGGTCCAGACTGAATCCTGGTGCCAGCAGAGCCTCTGCAGCAACAAAACCTCCCGGTCCCATCTCCTGGGAGCCCCAGCGTGGTCCTTGCAGAGCCCGGCCCGGCCCAAAACCAAGGTACAAAGAGTGGGAACGATCCCAGGCTGGAGGAGGGGGGTGGGAATCGCTCCCTGCCTGTGCTGTGGCCCGGTTTGGGAGCCCCGTGGCCGCGTCTCCTGCTCTCGGCTGCTCCATCCGTCATTGTCCCCGCCGGGGAGGGTCAGTCTGGGCACATCCCAGGGGAGGATCCGTCTGCGTGTCTGACTCCGGCGCAACCCCCGGCCTTGGCAACCGCCCCGGCCCGCCGGGAAATCAGATAAATGAGCCATCAAGGCGGCCGGGCTGGCTCTTAGTGGCACGGGCACGGGCTGGGACAGAGCCCAGATCCGCGCCCGGATCCGTGCGGGAATCGCTTCTCCCTCGCCCCCTCTGCACCATCCCCGCGGTGCCAGCGCCGCTGCTGCCCCTGTGCTGGTCCCTGGTGCCCTGCTGGGCTCTGCATCCCCCGGGCATTCGCAAAAAAGGGGATTTCCCCGTGATTTTTTTGGTCAAATTTACGTGTCCGCAGCGTGGATTCTCAGGGGGGAGGAGGAGGAGGAGGAGAGGGCTGGATTAGCTCAGTTAACACCGGGCAAAGGGCTGCTGTCTCATCCTGGCCCTTAGCAAGAGGGAATTAAGACCATTACAAGGCTATCAAATAGGATCAGAGCCCCTCTCCCTTTCTCTGAGCAGCCCAGACCTGCTAATCCTGTTTCATGCAGCTGGACCAGCACCCACCACGTGGCAGAGCTCGGCTGAGAGGGACGAGGGGCCCTGTCCCCTGTCCCCACCCCCACAGCCAGCGGGGCTGAGCGGTGTCACCAGCCCCGGGGTGACCCCAGTGCTCAGGGACAGGGACAGGGACAGGGACTGAGCTGGGCTGGGGTGAGCCAAGGTCTCCTCCTCAAGCGTGGTGCTAAAAAGCAGCTGCACCCACGTGTGGGACTCCCTGCCCTGCTCGGGGGGGGGACTTTGGGGACACGAAAGTGCAAAACCAAGCAGCAGCTTTTGGGATGGCAGCGACTCTGGGTCACTGATTTATTCCTAACCCGGCCAAGGCCGAGGCTGCTGGGCCTGAGGGCTCACAGGAAGCACAGGGATGATGCCAAGGAGCTCTGACCCAGCTGGCCATGGCAGAGACCCTACAAAAACACCCTCAGCTGGCGGAGGCAAACATGAGGCAGAGCACACCCCGAAGTCTGTGCTGGAGGTCCCCACCACCTCCTCTGCCCAGCAGGTACCAAGCTGGGCTGGCAGGAGCTGCTGCTGCCCTCGAGGAGGGCACAGCAGTGGAGTGTCCCCACGCTGGGTCAGGAGGGGGCAGAGGGGCTGCAGGGGGTGGGAGCAGGCACGGCGGTGACGGGCGACAGGGCGGGCGATGCCCACCCTGACCCGGGCACGAAACCCGTCCTGCCCTGAGCCGGCAGCAGAAACATCCCCCCACGTGTCCACGGGTGCCACCAGCACGTGCAAAGGGGGGAGGAACCGGCCAAGGCAGGAGCAGCAGCCGGGCACGGGCACGTCCCAGCTCCCCCCAGTCAGGACCCCGCCAGGTACTGGTGGAAGTAGAGGCCGAAGAGGCTGGTGACGACCTGGCAGGCGGCCACCCACCAGGTGAGGAAGGAGAAGAGCCCCCGGAGCAAGGGGGGGGTGAAGATGCAGTCCAGGATGCCCGTGATCTGCTGCACCACCACCTGCACGTCCTCGCCCTCCTCGCCCGCCGGGCCCGGCGCCGCCACCGCCGGGGACACCGGGGGGGGCTCCGGGTACAGCCCCCAGGAGAGGTGCCCTGTGGGACAGAGGGGACAGGGCTGGGGGGGGCGGTCCCTGAGCTGCAGCCCCGTCCCCACAGAGCCCCAGCAGCCTCCCTGGGGGTCTGTGCCAACCGCAAACCAGGGACAGTCACGGAATAGAATCCCAGAACGCCCCGAGCTGGACCCCCAAGGATCATCAACCCAACTCCTGGCCCTGCCCAGGACACCCCAACAATCCCCCCCTGTCCCTCAGAGTGTTGTCCAAACTCTCCTGGAGCTCTGGCAGCCTTGGGGCCGTGCCCACTGCCCTGGGGAGCCTGGTCAGTGCCCAACCACCCTCTGGGGCAAGAACCACTTCCCAATACCCATCCCAACCCCCCTGGCACAGCTCCAGCCATTCCCTGGGGCCTGTCCCTGCTCACAGGGAGCAGAGGCTGGTGCTGCCCCTCAGGAGGAAGCCGTAGATGGCTGTGAGGTCTAAATCTTGACTCTGGGGACAAGGTGGGTGCTGGTGGCTTCACGATGACCCACAGGTCTCCTCCCGCCCCTCCTGAGCCCCCCCCGATCCCCCCACTGCCCCCTCCAGCTCCTCACCCAGCGTCTTGAGCAGCAGAGTGCAGTGCAGGGTGAGGATGACGGGCCCCAGGTACTGCAGGGTGACCACGGGGACGTAGCAGTAGATCCTGGTGATCTGGGGGGCAGCGGGATCAGTCGCCGCCAGCCCCGCACGGCCACCCCCTCACCCCCCCCCGGCTCCCAAATCCCGACCTTCTGCTGGATCTCCAGGGCCGGGATCCGCCCGGCCTCCTTCCTCATCTGCTCCACCCAGCGCTCGGCCAGCCCCAGGTAGGCCTGGAGGTGGCGGCGGGCGCCGAGCAGGCGCAGCAGGCACAGCCCCACGATGCTCCAGAGCCGCGCGCTCTCGAAGGCAGAGTCCGACATGCTGCGGGAACAACGGGAGCTGCCGGCGACATCCCGGGATGCAGAGCCCCCCGAGGGGGTCTGCCGGGACAGGGGGTGGTGCAGGGGGAGGAGGGGAGCCCCCCCCCCGTGCCTCAGTTTGCCCCGGGAGCAGCACGTGGAGCCGCGTCCCACTCACAGCTGCACCGTCTCCTTGCCCATGGGCGCGTGGAGCAGGAAATCCCGGGAGAGGGGCTTGACCCACATCACCACCACCAGGACGGGCGCCAGGAAAATCAGGTGGAGCAGGAGCCTGTGGGGGAGCTGTCAGAGAAACCCCCCTCCCCGTACATCCCCTCACCCTGCTCCCTCCATCCCTGCCAGTGCTCACCCTCCTCCCACCAAACCCCCCCCATCCCAGCCAGTCCAAATCCCTTCCAAATCCCTTCCACCACCAAACCCCCCCCATCCCAGCCAGTCCAAATCCCTTCCACCACCAAACCCCCTCCATCCCAGCCAGTCCAAATCCCTTCCACCACCAAACCCCTTCCATCCCAGCCAGACCAAATCCCTTCCACCACCAAACCCCCTCCATCCCAGCCAGTCCAAATCCCTTCCACCACCAAACCCTCTCCATCCCAGCCAGTCCAAATCCCTTCCAAATCCCTTCCACCACCAAACCCTCTCCATCCCAGCCAGTCCAAATCCCTTCCAAATCCCTTCCACCACCAAACCCTCTCCATCCCAGCCAGTCCAAATCCCTTCCAAATCCCTTCCACCACCAAACTCCCTCCATTCCAGCCAGTCCAAATCCCTCCCACTACCAACCCCCCCCATCCCAGCCAATGCTCATCCTTCCACCAAACCCCCTCCATTCCAACTGGCCCAAACCCCTTCTACCACCAAAGTCCCTCCATCCCAGCCCATCCCCACCCAACCCCGTCCCTGCCCTGCAGCCACAGAGCCAGGGGGGTGTCCCAGCCCCTGAAGTGCCAGCATTGACCCTCTCCCTCCTTGCCCACCCCCGGGGTTCACCCAACTGTGCCAGGGGCTGGTCGGCCGCCATCCTGAGGGCATCCAGGTGGGTCTGGGCCAGGCGCAGCCCCGGGAAGGTCAGGCAGGCGCCCAGGAAGGAGCAAAGGGCCACCAGCCCCAGCTTGAAGCCCAGCTTGGCCAGGGGCAGCCTGTGGAGGGAGAAGGGAGTGTGTGTGGGGGGGTGTTGCCCCTCGAAGAAACTCCCAAAAAGCCCCATTTCCCTCCCTGCCCAGTCAGCAACTCACGTCCACTCCCAGCCCCGCTGCTTCAGGAGGGGCTCCAGGTTAGTGCTGACCCCGGCCAGCCCTGTGGGGAGAGACCCCCCCATCAATGGGGTGAGACCCCTGGGAGTGGGGAGAGACCCCTCATCGATGGGGTGTGACCCCTGGGAGTGGGGAGAGACCCCCACGAGTGGGACGAGACCCCCCCCACGAGCAGGGTGTGATCCCCTGTGAGCGGGATACGACCCTCATGAGTGAGGTGTGACCCCCGTGTGACACCCCCACCCCCGCCAGGAGCAGGGTGTGACCCCCTCTGTGAAAAGGATGTGACCCCCAAGAGTGGGATGTGACCCCCAAGAGTGTGGTGTGACCCCCCCAAGACTGAGATGTGACCCCCCATGAGTGGGATGTGACACCCAAGACTGGGATGTGACCCCCACGAGTGGGATATGAGCTCCCAAGAGTGTGGTGTGACCCCCCCCATGAGTGGGATATGAGCTCCCAAGAGTGGGATGTGACCCCCACGAGTGGGATGTGAGCCCCCAAGAGTGTGGTGTGACCCCCCCCAGACTGAGATGTGACCCCCCATGAGTGGGATGTGACCCCCACGAGTGGGATATGAGCTCCCAAGAGTGTGGTGTGACCCCCCCCATGAGTGGGATGTGACCCCCCCATGAGTGGGATGTGACCCCCACAAGTGGGGTGCCCGCAGCTCCCCCGGGGACCCCCTCCCCACCCATCTCCCCTCATCCCCCCCTACCCACCGGTCTCGAGGCCGAACTCCAGGTGCTCCTCCCGGACCACCAGGGCCACCATGGCCAGGAGGAGGAAGAAGAAGGCGAAGGTGAGGCACACGGAGCGCTCCCCCCCCTCCTCCGAGCGGAAATAGTGGCGCATCACCATGAAAAACACCTTCCTGGGGGCCGGGGGAGCCCGTCAAGGAAAACAGGCCCTTCAGGGGACCCCCCAACATTGAGGGGACACCCCCCCCCTGCTCACCAGCACGCGTGAATCACCCACACCACCAGGCCACCAGCACCTTCTCTGCGGGGAAGGGCTCGGGAGGCGCCTTCCCAGCTCATCACTGGGGGGTTTATAAACCTTTATAAACCCGCAAAATGAAGATTTCCAGCTCTGTGGGGTGGGGGGGGTTCCAGGCTGGTCCCCCAGTGAACGGATGGTGGCAATGGGACCAGAAAGCAGCAGAAGGATACACGGAGAAGAGGACGGTGAGCAGGCACCAGAGCACCCCCAGGTTGGTCTCCCGGGGGGGGCTGGCCAGGCTGTAGTAGCCCTCGGTGAAGACGTACACGGCGGTGGAGTACACGGCGAAGTCCACGAACCACTGGTACTCCAGGAAGTACCGCAGCACTGGGGGGGCACAGGGACACGTCACCGCCCCGGGGGGACCCTCGGGGGGGACCCTGAGCCCAGGGCAGGGCGGGGGGAGCAGCAGGGGAGGGGGGGGGGTTACCCAGGGCATCCACGGCGGTGATGGGGCTGGTGTCCAGGCGCAGGGCGATGTCCCGGGGCACGGAGAGGGGCTTGTCCTCCAGCACCCCGTTCACCCTCCTGCACGGGGAGCCAGGAGTTTGTCCCCTCGTGTCGCAGCCTCCTTGCCAGCAGCCCCGAGCCCGTGTGCTGCTGCTGCTGCTGCTGCAGCTCCCCAGCACGGCGGGGGGAGTCCCATTAACCCCAAACCCAAACCCACGCCCTGATCCTTTCCAGCCCCTCCTCACCTGTCCCTCTTGGCCTTGGGGCGCTGCTTCCCAGCCAGGGCGCAGAGCTCCTCGTCCGAGGGGTGTTTGTACCGGTACAGGCTGGAAGGGAGCACGGGGGTGGGGTGGGGGGGTGTCCCCGGGTGTCCCCAAAGGCCCCCCGAGGTGGAGCAGGGAGGGGCAGAGCCCGTACCTGCCGTTGCAGAGCAGCCAGCGGGCGAAGGAGCAGTGAGGGGCCATCTTCTGCATGAGGCTGGCGGCCAGCAGGGTCACCACCACCTGCACCCCCATCACCGCCTGTGCCGGGGCGGGGGGGACACTGCGGGGTCACCCCCAGCTCCCAGAGACGGGTGGGAGTGGGGCTGGGGAGCCCCAGCCCTGTCCTTGCTGTGGGATCCCCTGGGATGGGACCCCCGGGTGTGGGACCCCCCTGGGATGGGACCCCTGAGCGTGGGACCCCCCCCTGAGATCTCCTCCTGGGATAGGAACCCCCCTGGGTGTGCAACCCCCTGGGATGGGACCCCCCGGTGTAGGACCCCCCGGGATCTCCTCCTGGGATAGGAACCCCCCCGGGTGTGCAACCCCCTGGGATGGGACCCCCCGGTGTAGGCCCCCCCGGGATCTCCTCCTGGGATAGGAACCTCCCCGGGTGTACGACCCCTGGAATCACCTCCTGGGCTGGGAGGGACCCCAGGTCCTGCAACCCCCTGGGACACCCTGGTCATGCACCCCCCCGGCCAGGAACCCCCTCCAGGCACAGACGACCCCCCTCCCTCCCAGGCTGGCACTTTATGGGCAGGGACCCCCCAGACGCGCAACCCCGGGCAGGGACCGCCCCCAGCCCTTTCCCCTGGCAGGCACCCCCCGGGCAGTGACCTTCTGGTCACGCGATCCCCTGGGACCCCCCCAGTCATGCACCCCCCGGGCAGGGACCCCCCTGCCAAGCACTCCTCGTGCCCGGAGCACCCCCGAGAGTTGGGGTACCCAGGTTCGGGGAGGGTCCCGCATCCCCCCCGTCCCCAAGCACCCCCTCCCACGCACACCCCCGGGTCACCCGGGTCATGCACCCCCAAGGGCAGGGGTCCCCTGAGCACGGACCCGCTTAAGCACGCACCCTCCCGGGCCCCCTGGCCATGCCCCCCCCGTGCCCGGCCCCTCGCACGCCCCGCCCGTGCCCCCCGTGCCCACCATGGCGGGCTCAGCGCACGGGCGGCCGCAGGAAGCTCCTCCCACCGCCTCCTCCGCCCCGCCAGCCAATCCGCGGCCGCTGCCCCTGTGATTGGCAGCCGATCGACCAATGGAGAGGCCGCTCCGCGCGGGGGGGCGGGCTCTTTGCTGCCCTCCGGGAGCGCTGGGCCCGGCGCGGCCTCCGGGCCGCCGGTTCGAGTCCCGGCTCCGCGGGTTCGAGTCCCGTCTGTGCCTCGAGGGGAGGCCCCCGCGACCCCCGCGATCCCTGAGCGGGTTCATGTATGAATATCCATCATAAATCATATCCATGCGCCTTCCAGCACCCCTGGATAGCGCCCAGGTATCCACCAAAGCAGCTCTATGGCTCCCCATCCCCAGCTGGAGGGGACCCGTTAAAGTCACGGGCAAAACACGCTCGAGTTGGGGAAATCGGTTTAATTTGTTGCCAATCGAACCGGAGCAGGATAATGAGGAATTAAATCAAATGTCAAAAGCAGCTTCTCCACGCCCCTCCCTTCTTCCTGGGCTTAACTTCACTCCCAAACTCTCTCCTTCCTTTCTCCCAGTGGCACAGGGGGATGGGGAATGGGGGCTGTGGTCAGTTCATCAAGTTGTCTCTGCTGTCTTTTACATCCCTCCAGGGCTGGCGATGCCAGGGACAGTCGGTGCCCATCCCACCTGCCGTGTCCTTTTCCCCGTGTCTTCCTTGTGGGATAAATGGGATCCTCTCCCGTGTTTATCCCCTTGTTCTGTCTGGTTGCATCTCCCTGTGGGCACTGGAGGAGTTGAAGGTGTTTGGGGCCGGTGCAGCAGGTCCAGGGTGATAAATGGGAAGGGACTTCAGCGCCCACCACGGTGCCAGGACCCACATCCCAGTGCCAGGACCCACATCCCAGTGCCAGGACCCACATCCCAGTGCCAGGACCCACATCCCAGTGGGATCTGCGAGCATTCCAGCTGAGATCGGGTTCGTGGAGGGCTGTGACAGCCCTGCCCTGCCAGGACCACCCCGCTCCCCCTCCCGCGGGGCTCCGCGGGCGCTGGTGGGTGCCCCTGGTCCAGGCAGGGGGCCGGTATTCCCAAGGGGTTGCCATGGATATGGATCTCCCTGGCGACGGGATGCGTTTCCCACTAGATGTCGCTTCCGCCCGTGCCCGGAGCGGCCCCGAGGGTTGGGGTACCCGGGTTTGGGGGGGTCCCGCATCCCCCCGCCCTCCCCAGGCACCCCCGGGGCACCCCGGGCAGTGCAGCCCCCGGTGTGCCCCCCACCCTGAGCAGCCCCTCCATCACCGGGGGCTGTGATACCAAAAATCCCCCCCAGATCCCCCAAAGGGACCCGATCCCTCATCTCCAGCCAGACCAGGCTCCAGGGAAGCAGCTTCCAGGGAAGAAGCTGCTCCATCACCTTTGCTGTCCCCATGTCCTGCCCCCCTCCCAGACCCCCCGGGACCCCCAGACTCCCCCAGTCCTTACACCGGGGAACATTTGGGGCTGCCCAGGGCGGTCCCTCGGCTCCTCTGGAACGAATGCAGAGCCCCAGGAGACCCCCCGAGCCCCCACAGCGCCGGCTTTCAGCCCCGCCGAGGCACAAAAAAAAGGAGGGAAAGGTGGAAGATGGATGCTCGGAGCACCCCCCCCGGCCCGGCCGCCCTCCCCCCGCACACAAAAGCCCCTTTGAGGGCTGATTTTACACCGCTCCTGCCGGGGATGCCCCGATTTGCATCAGCAAAGGGAGTGGGGGCCGCGGGACGCAGCCGGGGCCGCTGGAAAAGTCGGGAATTAACGGGTTTCCAACTCCCGAACCCGGTCGGGGGGTGCCAGGCCCAGCACCCCGTGTACACCGAGGGGGGGGACGACACATTTTTAATCCCCAGGGCTGGGATTCGGCGCCCACCGAGCCGGGATCGACCCCCCGGGGCAACCCCGACCCGCGTCCCGCCGCTCCCGCAGCCAGGGGACAGCAAAGCCACGGCGACACTCGGGGGACTTCCCGCCCCTGGGCGAGGCCGGGGGCAGCTGGCACCCCTCTCCGTGCCCGTTTATCTCCCCCCCCCCCAAAAAAAAAAAAAAGTTTCCCATTGCGCACAAAGGCGGCGCGGGGCATTGTCCGGGCTCTGCATCGCATTACCCGGCGCTCTCCCGGAGAAATCACTTGTATTTCACGCTCCATTGAGCAGCTGCCTGTATATATTTTCTGTGTTGCACTTTTAGCATGACAAAAGGAGAGGGCCTGTGAACTCCTTGCTCTTCAGACCTCTCCGACACGTCCCCCCGAGCGGAGCCCCCCTCGGTTAGCATAACAAACTGCCACGCTCCCTCCAACGTGCTCCGGGGCTCCCTCCCGGCCCCTTTTTTATTCCCCCCCCCACCCCCCCTTGCTAATTTAATGTATAGCTCAATATTTGGGCGTCTGGGTCGCCGGCGGCGGAGGGCGAGCGCGTGCTGGGCGATTGGGAGCCCGGGGGTTCCGGGATGTCCTTCCCATGGATCCGTGGAGGAGCTTGTCCCGGCTCCACGACGCCCCACGCGGGGTTTTTAAGCGGTCCCTGGTGGGATCTCAGAGCCCTCCCTGGGGAGGGGACAGAGCCAGACTCAGCTCCGGGCTCTGGTGTCACCATCAGAGTCACCAAACCCTGCGGTGGATCCTGGGCACCGTCCCCGTCTGGTGCTGGAGCTGCAGGTCTCCAGCTCCTGCTTTCGCCTTGAAATCTGAGTTAAAGGCAGGAAAACAGGAGCTGTGGGGCTGGAGTGAGCCTCGGGCCCAGCAGCACCAGCTTGGTTGAACTGGTTGAACTGGGAGCTGGTGGTGCTGACGGGGTGTTTGTCCCTCAAAGTGGGGTCACACCCCTCAAAGTGGGGTCACAGCCCGTCCCCAGGTCCAGGATGGAAATGAGCAGGAGGGAGCAAGGGTGAGGTGACACTCGTGCCCACAGTGCCCCAGCTCGAAGCTGGGCTGCTCCTGCCTCCCCCCAGCCCAAAAGGGACAGGGCATCGTCCCCTCTGGGGCTGGGACACCCTCGGGACACCCCTCAGCTCCCACCGTGGGGAAGGAGAGGGCTGGGAGGGGAAAGCTCAACCTGTGGGGAAGGAAACACACCCCGGGCATGGAGGCTCGCAGGGATTTGGGGGTCCTGCAGGAAAAAAGGGGCAAAATTCTGCTCAGACACCAGGCTGGGACACAACTGGGGGCTTTCAACACCTTTAATGCACTGGAATTTTCCCCCTTTCCCTCGCTGGCTGCAGACCATCCTCCCGCTGCCCTGGGCTGGGTGGCAGCGGCTCCGTGTCCTTCCAGCTTCCTGGGATGTCACCTCGCTGTCCCCTCTGGCACTGAGGGGTGAGGAGACCCCAGGTGGGACCCTCTGGGCACACCTGGGGCGGTTTATTTGGGAAGGGAGGGGGTAAGTCCTTACCCTGGGCACGGGATGAGCGTCCCACGGATCCTGCCCACGCTCCAGAGCCAGCCTGGGCTTTTCTCCGGCCTTCCTCGGTCACCTGGACCCCACAGCGTCCACTCCTGTCACCTGCTGATGGGAGAAACTGGTGTGAGCCCAGTGCCAGCCTGGGGAGAGCCAGGGCCAAGCCCCCATGGCACAGATGAGAGGTGGCTGTGCCACCACCATCCCGATTCCCTTCCCAAATCCCTCCCTCCATCCCAGTCCCGCTGTGCGCTTGGGGACATTTCTATTGGGGTCTGGCTCCAGCTCCCTTTGGGAGGGGACAGGCAGGAATTTGGGGTCAGTGGGTATTTGGGTGCCTGGTGGCACCTCGGGGCACCTTGAGAGGGGGCAGGTGGCAGGAGGAGCAGGAAAATCCACATCACTGGAGGTGGCAGGAGAGTGGGGTCACGGAATCCTGGACTGGTTTGGGTTGGAAGGGACCTTAAAGCCCATCCAGTCCCACCCCCTGCCACGGGCAGGGACACCTCCCACTACCCCAGGTTGCATCCCCCCCTCCCAATTCCAGTCTCCTGCGTTATCCCTATGGCTGCATCCCCCTCCCTGCTCCCAGCTTTCCCCTCTGCCCTTCCTGAGCCCAAATTCCCTCATTAACTGGCTCCCTGGGGCATTCCTTGTGTCCCCCCTGCCTGTCCAGGCTCTGGCGCCTCTTTATGGGGTCCCACATTCCATAAATCCCCCAAAAGTGACTCTTCCTGTTGGCTCCCCCTTTGAGGGATCTCCCACTCTGGGGTTTGGATCTGTGTGGGGTGGGGGGTCAGTGCGGGGACCCTGATCCCTTCCAGGCACAGGGATTTCCCCAGGGATGCCCAGGAATGCCCAGGAATACCCTGCATCCCAACCAGGATGCCCACACAGGGATGGGGAAGGTGTGTTTGCACGTGCTGACGCTCCAGTGGGAATATTGCTTTTGGAAAAGCTCCTCCTTGATTCCCTTATCCTTTGGATTTTGCCAGAACCCCCCTGGGCTCCCCCTCCAGGATGCTGAAAATGGGGGGGGGTCCTACCAGAGGGGTCCCCTGCAAGACCAGGCCCCCTCAAACCCAGTTTTCCCACTGCAATTCCATACCAGACCCCCTTCCTGGATCTCCCTTGCCCCTTCCCTGCACTGACAATCCCACATCTGTGCCCCATCCCAAAGGAGCCTTGTCCAGGTGCCCTGGATCCCCATTTCCAGGGGTCTGTCCAGGCTTCCTGGGATTTTGGGGTTGGCTGTGGTGCTCTCTCTGCCTCCAGGCAGCCAAAGCATCTCCACCTGCCCCTTCCCAGCAGTGCAGTCAGGGATGGGAATCATCCAGTGCAGTGGGAACGGGAGGAACCGGATCTGTTCAATCTGGGAAGGGCTGGATCTATTTAAGGGTGAATTTAAGTGACAAACCGAGGTGTTTGGGGCAGGAAAACCAGGATTTCTCACTGGCTGGAACGCTCAGCTGATTTTTCCCTGAGGAGCTGAGCGAGGCCTGTGGATTCTGGAGCAAACCCGAACCCCTTGGGATGTTCCCCCAGCATTTTCTGGGACACAGTGAGAGCCACCAGCACCTTCTCCGTGCTCCAACCCGGGACCAAGGCACCTCCCAGGGAGCCCTGGGGTGATCTGGGGGTTCAAACCCGGGTTTGGGGCACAACCCAGAAGTGCCTGAGGGAGGAACAACCCCCTGGATATGGGGCTGTAATTGGGGATTGGGGTGCCCGGGGGGGTCTGCACTCCCTCCTCCCCCCCAGCCCTGCCCTCACCAGCCTTGGAACAGCTTGAGCGTCCAGGAGGGAATTCATTTAAATAAATTTCCATAGGGATTAATCTCCCTCCTCCCAGCAGCGTGGTGGAGGTGAGATGGGGGGGGGGTGTGAGGAGAGCTGAGCCTGTTTCGGGGGACACGGGAAGACGAGGAGGATGAGGGGGCACCTTCCTCCCCCCACAGCCCTTCATCCCTCCTTCTCCAGCTTTTTGGGAAGGTTTGGAACCCCTCCTCACCCTCTCACCGGGCGGGGGGATCACAAATGCAAACCCTCCACAGTTCCCAAACTTCCCAAGCGGGGTCACAGTGACCCAAGAGTCGGCCCTGGGTGACCCCAAACACCTCCAAGGAGGGAGATTTGGGGCTGTGCAAGCTGCTGCAAAGAGGATTTTCCGTGCAGGACGTGTCCACCCCACCAGGAGCCTCGTCCTGGCCGTGCCCCCTGCACTGGGTTTTCCCTGTGGATTCCTGACCTGGCTCCTTCTGCACCGAAAATCTGCCAAATTTCGCTTTCCAGCACCCCCTGGATGGAAAAGGAGGAATGCTGAGGGGCTGCTCCATCCCCATGGATCAGCTCTGGCACAGGAGAGAGGAGGGGCACGGCCATGCCACCATCCTCTCTCCCCCAAACAGGAATACCAAGGGCTGGGAAAAACCCTCTTGGAGCAGCCACACAATCCCAATACTCAGAAATCCCAGGAGAAGATTAACTCCAGGAGGTTTTCCAGCTTTTCCAGCCCTCCCCAGCACCCCTGGAGCAGGAGACATCCTTCCAGCAAAGGAAAAATTATGATCCCACCCCCTGTTAAGCGAGCACAGGAGCATTGCCATGACTGATGCAGGTTTTCTCCCCCCCCCCCTGCCCGGGATTTGGGATTCAAAGCGTGGGCAGGAATTCAAATAAATCGGGATGAGTGAACACTTGGAAACAAGCAGAGCAACAGCTATTTTTGGCTGTCAAATTTGGGAGGTTTTAAGGCTCCTTCAGGGCACGAACTGCTGCAAGAATTCGCTTCCACTGCAGCAAGGGGGAAGCGTGGAGAGGAAGGAGTTCCCTCCCTCCTCCCGGGGAGATGGAGGTGGGAAAACCCAGCCATGCCAGAGGGGGGTCTTGCACCCACAGAAATGATGATTTGGGGCTCTGGGGTGAAAAATGGTGGCTCTGGGGTGAAAAATGGTGGCTCTGGGGTGAAAAATGGTGGCTCTGGGTGATTCCTGGAGGGAATGTCCCCACGGAGGGTCTGTCACTGCTGTTGCTCCCACGTGGAGTTTTTACCCACCGAGGATGGAAAGCAGAATTAAACCCCTTCCTCTGGCAGCGCCGAGGGGAGCAGAGAGTGTGGGATTTTTTTTGTGAAACTGAAAAAAAAACCCCACCCTTTCCATTTGGTTTTTCTGCGGGAATCCTGACCTTGCAGTGACTCACATCCCTTTGGGAACAGCTCCCAGGTGCACTCCCAGCACTGGGGCTCCAAAGCACCCACCAGCACCCAACGCTGTCCCCGTGTCCTGCTCCTCGTTTGCCAAAGTTCATTAAGCCTTGGAGATGTGGAAAAGCAAAGGAAAACTGGCTCATTAGCATAATTTTGGAATAAAACTGCCCTGCAGCTGGACATGGCCCTGCCTTCAAACCCTGAGGCTCCAGAGCTGAGCTCGCAGGGGTGAAGCAGCAGCGTTTTGGGGGGCACCACAAACCCCTCTCCTTTTCCAGAAGAGGCTTTGCTCGCCCCATATCTATTCCCAGGCACACCCTCCGTGCTCTGCGGGCTCAGAGCTGCCCCACCCCAGGGTGGGCAGCCCCCAGGGGTGCTGGGGACCTCCCCCCAAGGGGCAGCACCCCGGTGAAAGGAGCTGAATTCCACCCGGGGGGAAAGCTCGGCGTCCACGTGGAGGTTCCCGGCCCTTCGCCATGGAAACGAGCGTTGCCAAGGGAGTCAAAGATCGGGGAAAATCCAAGTTTGTGTGGCAGCAGGATTGAGCCCCCGGGTCCTGGGGAGGGGGCTGTGCCCAACTGAAGGCTCCAGCTCTATATCCACGTGGAGAAACCCCCGGGATGGAGGGAATGGGGGAAAGCGGGCACAGGGCGCTGGGTGGTTCGGGGTGGGCACGGGTGAGCTCGGCCCCATCCCGGGGTTCCTCCAGCGCAGAGCTGGGGGTGCCAAGCCCACCAGAGCTTAAACCAAGCTTATCTGTCGTTAAACAGACCCCAAAAGGGCACAAAGCCACCTCAGAGCGGGCACAACCCCGGGCCCTCCCTCCCTTTCCCTTCCGGCTCCCGCTTCTCCCGCCGCCCTCCGCGGGCACAGGGACTCCCGGGGAGCTTTATTAAGTTTATGGGCATGAGGAAAAGGGTTCGGGGGGTGGGGGGGAAGGGGGGGTGTGTGGGAATAATGCAGGCAGGGGCCACCTCTGACCTTGACCCCCGTCCCGGTCCCCGCGGCAGCTGGGCCGTCGCGGCTCCGCCGGGAGCTCAATGGGCGCTTTGTCCTCGCCCGCCGGCCCCGCTCAGCCCCGTCGCCCCCAATAATATTTATGGAGTCTCCGGTCACCTCGTTCCCCCCGCTCCCTGCATCTCAATAACCCCGATCCGGCGGGATTTATAGCCGGGAAGAGCGGCTGCTCCTCCGGCCCCCGTGGTGGGTGTGGAGCGGCGGGTCCTGCCCCCCGCTCCGGTCCGGGCACTGTTGGCGGCCCTCCGGCTTTTATTCCTCCCTTTCCTCACCAAAAAAACCCCACGAATCCCTATTTGAAAGCAAACAGGTGGAGGAATTTTCCTGCTTTTCCCAAGTTTTGCAGAGCCTCCCCCCAGCTCCGGCGTGGGAAGCGCAGCGCTGGATCGTTCAGCTCTGCCTCTCGCTCTCTCCAGTTCCCTCCACGGGTTAAAAGAAATCAAAAACTCCTTCCCAGACCTCCAGAGAGGAATATTTTATCCTTCTTCCACGGGTGGGTGCAGCCTGAGCACGCCCAGGGCATGGGGGGGATTCAAGGGTGTGCCCTGAGCCCATGGAAATCCTCGGGAAGCTCCTCGGCATCCCGAGCTGTGAAGCAGATGATTTAAGCAGAGGGGTTTATTTGGGAAGGGTTCAACCAGGAAAACCTTAATATTTGGGGGTGAAAGGAGAGGATCAGTGAAGGTGCATGGGACAGCAATGGCCCTGGTCTGCTGGGATTTGGAAAATCCTGAGAAAGGGCAACTTTTCCTGGATCGGGGCAAGAAGGGAAGAGATGTGAATCCAAATTCCTGCTGAGTTATTCCAAACTTTACCAAAACCAGGACTGAAGCTGTGGATCTCTGTGGGTGGGAGGAGGTTGGGCCAGTGTGGGCTGTTAAGGTTGTTCCCAGATTCTCCAGAAATTCCTACGTGGCTCTTCCAACAGCCAGGCAGGATCTTCAGGGGCACTAAATCCCCTTCCATGACTCGGAGTGGCTCCCACACGCTGCCCCAGCCTACAGGAACTGCATTTTGGGACCACTTCGTCGGACTTTGGGAGATGCCCCAGGATCAATGAACCAAACTGGTCCCTTTCCAGCTTTTCCATCATCTTCTGCTCAGTCCTTCAGTTCGGAGCACGGTGGTACAGGGTCAATCCTCCAGTGCCAACAGGGGTTCTGGTGCTGGTTTGGTGCTGGTTTGGTGCTGGTTTGGTGCTGGTTTGGTGCTCCCTCCTGGTGCTGGAGCTGGGAGGTGACTGGCAGCAGAGTGCTGGGGTGCTGGACGTGCCCACAGACCTCCCTGCATGGAAAATCCTCCTTTAGGGCTGCTCAACCCCAGAGCTGCAGGGACCCGGGGCTGGGGGGGGGGACGGTCTGTCCTGGTCCCCAAATCCCACGTGGGAGAGAGGAAGGAGGAGAAACAGAGATGGTGGGGGAGGCAGAGCCGTGATTCCCACGTGTGCTGAGCTCTCTGAGCTGATCCATCAGGGAACTGTCCCTGAGCTCTCTGAGCTGATCCATGGGGGAACTGTCCCCGAGCTCTCTGAGCTGATCCATGGGGGAACAGCCACAGCCTCTGTCCCCCCATCCCCGCCGCACCCCGGGGAAGCAGGAGCATCCCCTAAACCTGAGCCAGAGCTGCTTCCAGCCTGTTTTAGGGAGGAAATCAGTTTGTTTTCCTCCTCCTCTGCCGGTTGGAAGGTGCCTGGGGCACGAGCTGTGCTGCCTCTTCCCGAGGCCGGGGCGCAGGGGCTGCTCCACTGAGCATCTCCCGTCGGCTCCTTCCCGGTCCCCTTCCCGAGGGCTCCTTCAGGGAAATGCTGCCTGACACCAGCCCCGGAGCTCCAGAGGCTGGAGATGGATCCAGAGTGTCACCTCCTGCCACCTCCCTTGTCCCCAGGTCCGTGGGGGAAGGACACACCCCTGCGAAGAGCAGGGCGAGTCCTGGCAGGCAAATGTGACCAGGTTTTTCGGGAAGCTGGAGCGGCAGAGCTCCTTTGTAAAGGGTTTGTGCTGCTCCCCGTGCAGGGCAGGAGCAGCAGGACGCTGATGGAGCAGGAGGAGGATGGTTCTCGGGCGCTGTGGGTTCGGTCCAGGTGGGAATGGTGGGTTTAACCGCAGGAGGAAGGTGTGGGAAGGCGGCTGGGGGGGGGTCAGCTCGCGGGGGGATGTGCAGCCAACAACCACCCCCAAGCCCCAAACCAGCTCAGAAAGGGGCTGGACCCACCAGGGACGGGGTCAGACGCTCCCAAAGTCTCCTGGGAAGGGCTGGGAGCGGCGGAGCCCTCCCGGGACGGAGCTGCCGGTGGGCGACGGGAGGGTGGCTGGAAGGAGCAGCATCTCCAGCTTGCTGAGCTCGGCATAATTGTTGGGAAAGCGCCGCGCACATGCTGAGCTCCATAATTATCAGCCTTGTCTGCCAGGCCCTGCCTGCCTCCCTCCCTCCCCCCAGCACCACGGCACACTTGATTATGATTATGGTGGCTAATTTTGTCTGGTGCATCTTCGGCATATGGGCCCCCACCTGCTCGGAATATGCAAACGCCGCTGATTTGCTCCCTCCCCGGGGCCGGGGGGGGCCCGTGGGCAGGCGGGGAGGGGGGTCTGGGAACAAAGGAACCCCCTCTGTGCAGGCCCTGGGCACAAAGAGCCGCTGGCGGGGCCGGGGCTGCCCCTGGCACGGCAGTGCCCGCCCTGGGGAGGGGGTTGTGGTGGGTGTGGGGCTGCCCCTGGCACGGCAGTGCCTGCCCCAAGGAGGGGGTTGTGGTGGGTATGGGGTTGCCCCTGGCACAGTAGTGCCCACCCCGGGGAGGAGAGGGGGTTGTGGTGGGTGTGGTGGAGCAGGAGATGCAGAGAGCTCGTCCCTGGCCAGGACACATGGCACAGTGGGGACACGTGGCATCATGGCAAGGACATTTATGGTCGTGATCAACGCGCTGCAGACGCCCCCCTTGACATGCAACCCCCCCCCCCAGGCTCCATCCTGGCTGTCCCCCACTGCCACGGGGTGCATGCCCACCCCACAGCCCTGCAGGACCATCCCTGTGTTATTTGGGAAAGGGGTTTGGCCCTGCAGGACCATCCCTGTGTTATTTGGGGTTGTCCCTGCAGGACCATCCCTGTGTTATTTGGGGTTGTCCCTGCAGGACCATCCCTGTGTTATTTGGATTTGGCCCTACAGGACCATCCCTGTGTTATTTGGGGAAGGGGTTTGGCCCTGCAGGACCATCCCTGTGTTATTTGGGGTTGTCCCTGCAGGACCATCCCTGTGTTATTTGGATTTGGCCCTGCAGGACCATCCCTGTGTTATTTGGGGTTTGTCCCTGCAGGACCATCCCTGTGTTATCTGGGGAAGGGGATTGTCCCTGCAGGACCATCCCTGTATTTATTATTTGGGGTTTGGCCCTGCAGGACCATCCCTGTATTTATTATTTGGGGTTTGGCCCTGCAGGACCATCCCCGTGCTGCCTGGGAGGGGCGGGAGCGGGGCCGGGCTCCGCGGGGCTCATCAAAGGCTCGGTGTGCCGGGGAAGGGCAGCCGAGGTGGGCTCCCGTCTGCCTCGTCGGGGGGCTTTGCCATGCTAATGGATAATTAGACAGGCAGACAGACTGACAGGGATCCAGATGGATGGATGGATGCCACGAGGATCTGGTGACAGATAAATAGGCAGATGCTAATGGGCAGCGCAAACAACAGCTCAGACTCCTGCTAATTCCCACTGTAATTTTTAAGCTCTCTCCATCCTCTCCCCCCTCCCCTTCTCCCCCTTCTCTCCCCCAATCCCGAGCTCTCACCGGCACATCACTTATATTTATTTTAATTTCTTTCTCCCATAGAAATGGTTTGGGGGAGGGAGGGGGGCTCAGAGGAATAACGAGCAGCTCTGGGCTGAGCTGGGTGTCGTGGGGGGGGGGGCTCGGGGAGCTGAAACCCCTGGGACCACCCTGGGACCAGCCAGGACCAGCCCTGACACTCAGGGGGCATCTCCCCGACACTAATTAATTTTTTTTTTAATTAAAACAAAACCACGAAAATAAAATACTTCTAACCCCTTTTTTTTTTTTTTTTTTTTTTTTTTTTTTTTTGCCCCCAACTAGAAGACGGGGGAAGAAAACAGTGAATGGAGGGGAGGAGGCCGGGGTGGATTAGAGCCGGAGAGCCCGAGACAAAAGAAACATCCTCGCTTGTTTTCCCTTTGCCGCGGGGAATCCACGTGGCGGCTGCGGGAAGGCGGGGAAAGCGGGAAGAGGAGAGAAATCCTGCCGGCAAGGGGAGATTTCCAGCCCCGGTGGGTGCTGCTCACCTGCCCCGAGGGTCGGGCTCCTCGGTGGGACCCTGGATCCCGGGATTCCCGGGATTCCCGGGGTATGGGGGGGGGATTCTCAGGGGCTCGGAGACCTTCGGGTATTCCCTGCTCGGCGGGGATGTCGCTGTCGCTGTTGTCACCCCCCTGGTGCCACCCTGCCAAGCTGAGCCCTGGCATGGGATGGGTCCTCGAGCATCCTCCCGGGGGTAGCAGCTCCTCTGCCTCCTCTGCTGCTCCTCTCCATCCTCTCTGCCCATCTCCTGCCTCATCACCTCGCCCTGATTTGTGTCCCAGCCCATCAGCCCCCTCCATCCTCTGCTCCTTCTTCCACTCTCTCCCTTTTCCTCTCCGTGGTTTTTTATGATTTCTCCTCTGTTCCTCCCTCTCTCTCTCTCTCTCTCCCTGGCCTATTTTCTCTCCTACTTTACTGGTTTCCCTCCTTTTTTTCCTCCCACCTTACTCCTTTTCCCTCTCTCTGGGGTCGATTTTCTCTCCTGCTTTACTGGTTTCTCTCCTTTTTTCCCCCCACCTTGCTCCCTTTCCCTCTGGGGTCTATTTTCTCTCCTACTTTACAGGTTTCTCTCCTTTTTTCCCCCCACCTTGCTCCTTTTCCCTCTCTCTGGGGTATTTTCTCCCTCTCTGCCACCCCGGGAAGGCCTGGCAGAGACGGACAATCCCCCCAGGGCTGCTGTCCCCGTGGAGTTGGGTCCCACAGGTGAATCCCCTGCTCCTATCTCAAGGCTGAGCTGCAGAAAATCCAGCCCAGGAGATGCCACCAGTGCCTCCTGCACCCCGGGAGAGAGGCAGAGCCTGCTCTGGGTTGAGGCAGAACCCGGCAGCTCATCCCCAAAGGCACCCAGGGCACCCCTGCTCCCACCCTGGTCACCCCTGCTCCCACCCTGGTCACTCCTGTTCCCACCCTGGGCACCCCTGCTCCCACCCTGGTCACCCCTGCTCCCACCCAGGACACCCCTGTTCCCACCCAGGACACCCCTGCTCCCACCCTGGTCACCCCTGCTCCCACCCTGGTCACCCCTGCTCCCACCCTGGTCACTCCTGTTCCCACCCAGGACACCCCTGCTCCCACCCAGGACACCCCTGCTCCCACCCAGGGACACCCCTTGCTCCACCCTGGGCACCATGCTCCACCAGGGACACCCCTGCTCACCCAGGACCCCCTGCTCCCACCCAGGACCCCTGCTCCCCACCCTGGTCACCCCTGCTCCCACCCAGGACACCCCTGCTCCCACCCTGTCACCCCTGCTCCCCCCTGGTCACCCCTGTTTTTTCCACCCTGGGCACCCCTGCTCCCACCCTGGTCACCCCTGTTCCCACCCAGGACACCCCTGCTCCCACCCTGGTCACCCCTGCTCCCACCCTGGTCACCCCTGCTCCCACCCTGGTCACCCCTGCTCCCACCCAGGGCACCCCTGCTCCCACCCTGGTCACCCCTGCTCCCACCCAGGGGGTGTCCAGCACCCTGTGCCCGCCCGTGGCAGGAGCTGGAGGAGAAAACCCCCCATTTCTGCCTTATTTCCCCCAAAGTGATGCCAAAGGGGAGGTTCCTGTCACTGCAGGAGGATCCAGCACCCGCTATGTAGGTCAGAGCTGATGGTGAGGGAGAGCAGGGGGGGCCCAGCCCCGGGGTGGCCCCTGTCAGATCCCGGGATTCCATCTGGGATTAAACCCTGGCAGCCTCTTACCACCACCAGATAAATAGATATAATATATATAAATAGATATAATACATATAAAAACATACACACACCATATCACCATATATATATATACACACCCATATATTTTTATATATATATGTGTATAATTTCAGCCCATTTCTCGTTTCAGGTGGAAGCAGCTCCCCAGCACAGTTATAAGTGTTACCAGAATTTATCCTGTCGCAAATATTCCCGTTTTTTAAACAAAAAAAACAATTCCAGTTCTCAGCAACTTGCTGGGAAGGAGCCCGGGGGGTGGTTTTTCTGCCCAGCTCCTGCAGGTATTCCCGATTTCCTCCCTTTGCTTTAGGAGCTAAGGGGGGGAAAAAAAGGGGGGAAATATTTTCCTTATGAGTACAGATGTATATAAAATATCCCAGGGATTTGGGATATTTTATATACAGGTCCCTCTTTCCAGGAGTTTTCAGGTCTGCTCACATCACCTGGCTCGGGTGGGTAAATCCCAGCAGTTACAGGGTGGAAAAAAAAAAAAAAAAAAAAAAAGGTGGGAATGGCAAAAGCTTCAAATTCCCAGCTTTAAAAGAAAAAAAAAAATAAATCCTTTTCTGGGTGCAGAGATTTGGAAACTCCCAAATTCAGCTCCCAAATCTTTTCCTTCCCATCACGAAACACCCAAAAGGAGCTTCACCCACCCCTGTCCACCAGCAAAGGGCAGCACCTGGATGACACCAGGCACGTCGGGAAGAAGGACAATATTGGGAATGTGAGGAGCAGAGAGGCTGAAAATCCGACTTTTTCCTGGGGGGGAATTAATTTTGGACCAACCACGATTCCTTGGCCTGCCCAAATCCCTTTTTTTTTTCCTCCCTTTTTCGGGTGGTCACCCGAAAGCACCCGGATGGTTTGTAGGGGGGGGGACAAACGGGAGCACGTTGGCCAAGACAGGGGGACAACATTCCTGGGACAACATTCCCGGGACAACATTCCCGGGACAACATTCCAGGGACAATATTCCCGGGATGGAGGAGGCGTTAATTAGGATGCAGGAGCCGTTCCTTGGGTGCAAGAAGTGGAGGGGGAAGGGTTAAGGGGCAGAGGGGGGGACGGAGGGGTGAGAAGAAAGCCCGGGGTGGGGGGGGGGGGAAAGAAGGGCCCTCGTGCAGCACCCGGGGCTTGATGGCTTAATTACCATATTCAAATCTAATTAATTCCCCTTTGCATAAAAAGGCCACGGCGGGCGTGGGACCAGCCTTGCAGATGGCGTCTCATGCTCAGCACCATTTTGGGGCCGCCGGCCATCTTAGGGAGGAGGAGGAGGAAAAGGAGGAAAAGGAGGAGGAGGAGGAGGAGGAGGAGGACGAGGAGGAGGATGGTTCTGCCCACGGTGCTGAGCGTCTGCCAGGGGCACCCATCGGGCACCAAATGCCCCCATCCCGGTGGCAACGCCCCTTGGAGGGAGAAGAGGGTGTTTCAAAGCAGGAGGGAGAAGAAACGAAGGAGAAACGGGTGGGGAGGGGGTTCGGTGGGATGGAGCGTCGCAATTCGGGGGGTTCGGGGGCTCCTCGCCCTCAGCTGGGGCTCCCAACCCCACCCTGGGGTCTCCAGGTGGGAAGGTGACGATCCCACCCGTCCTGAAGGCCCACGTGGGGATGGGTGTCCCCAGGGGGGGTTTGTTGGAAGGGTGGGTGAGGAGGAAGGAGCATTCCAGACCCACCTCCGGAGGGTGATCCCGTGGGGACACACCCGCACACCCCTCGAGTGCCACCCAGCAGGAAAACCCCGAGGAAATCCAGCCTCAAACAGCAGATTCCCAACCCCCCTGCCCTGCACAGGCCTCGCTCTGGGGGGAAAATGGGATAAATATTCCTCATCTCCCCACTGTGTGTTCGGGGCGAGCCAAATCCCTGCTGGAAAACCAGCCCGGAGCAGCGTGGGCTGCCCGTGGCAGTGCCCACACCAGCTGCCAGGCTCACCCTGGCAAAGGTGAAAGTTATTTTTCCTAATGTTTTGGACAGCTCTGCTGTCACGTGGAAGGACTTGGAGGAGGGAGGACCGCAGGGGATGTGGATTTTCTCCCTTGACTGACTCCCAAGGATGGGATGAGCTGCTGCTGCTGCTGCTGCTGCTGCTGCTGCAGGGCCTGGTGTCCTCCCCACCCCCCTTCCCCGGCGCTGAGGGGGGGTTGGGATGAAGCTCTTACCCCAAAACAGGCTCCCAGAGGAAGCTGGAAGTCCCTTTTGCGGCTGAATCCCAGGAAAAGTGATTTTTTTTGAGAGGGGTTTGGAAGGGGCAGCACAGGAGGATTTATGGATGAGGCTGCACACCCAGACGGGGGCAAAGCCAGAGGTGAGGGGGGGAAAATTCCCCTTTGTGCTGTTTAAAGGATGTTTTTGGGTACTAAAGGAAAGATTTTTAGATGTAAATTGAAAAGGAAATAAGGGGGAAAAGTCAATTATTTGGCAACCAAAAGCTGGGAAGGGGGAGCAATCCAAACGTTTCCAAAGTGGAATATGTGTAATATGGGGATAAAACCTGCTTTTTGTCCTCCCAAAAACAACGAGAAAATAATCATTGTGGCACCTCACTGAGCTGGTGAGGAGCAGCCCCTTCCATGGCGCTGCTCCCTTGTCCCCCCAAATCCCTGTTGGGGGGAGCCTGGAGGGAGGATTTGCGTGGAAAACCCCAGTGCCAGCGGTCTGGGCTCGCAGGAGTGGAGAGGAAAGCAAGGAAAGCCCAACCTTACCCCGTCCAGGAGAGCTGAAGGGCTGCTGAGCATCCTTGGGAAAGCCAAGCCAACATCCCGAGCCCGGATCCGCCGGCGCTGCCTCGTCCCGGAGGGATGGGGTGGAACGAGCTTGGTCGCTGCAGACCCATTCCAGGAGCAGCCTGGGAGCTCCCAGGGGCAGGAATGCCCAGTCCATGGCACCCACGGGGCTCCTCCATCCCTGGATTTCCAGGCTGAGGGTGTTTTGGGTGAGGGGGTGTCTTCCTGGGGCTCTGGTGCCCCATCCCTGCTCCCGGTGAGGGATGTGGATGGATCCCGGTGATCAGAGCAGTGGGGGGAGTTCTCCTCTGCAAAAAAAAACCCCAAAATGGGGCATTTGGTCACCTCCAAAAGCACGGTGATCACCTCCAAACCCTCAGGGGTCACCTCCAAACCCTCAGGGGTCACCTCCAAACTCTCACTGATCACCTCCAAACCCTCAGGGGTCACCTCCAAACTCTCACTGATCACCCCCAAACCCTCATTGATCATCCCCAAAACCCTGGTGGATAATCCCGAAACCCTCATGGGTCACTTCCAAAGCCTCACTGATCACCTCCAAACAACAGTGATCACCTCTAAACCTTCATTGATCACCTCCAAAAGCACAGTGATCACCTCTAAACCCTCAGTGATCACCTCCAAAAGCACAATGATCACCTCTAAACCCTCATTGATCACCTCCAAACAACATTGATCACCTCTAAACCCTCAGTGATCACCTCCAAAAGCACAATGATCACCTCTAAACCTTCATTGATCACCTCCAAAGGACAGTGATCACCTCCAGACCCTCATGGATCACGCCCAAACCCTCACTGATCATCCCCAAACCGCAGTGACCACTTCCAAACCGCAGTGATCACCTCCAGCACCCGCTGCCGGGGAGGGGACGCCTTAATCTGCCCCAAATCCGCCTTTTTATCACCCCAAACCATGTCAGGTGGAGGTGAGAACTTCACCTCTCGCTGGCCCCAGCACCCACCTTCACCCCGGGATGTGTGAGGGGGGGGCACCCACAAACCCCATCCCCTCCAACACCCGAGGGGGAGCACCCCAAAAACCCCGGAGCTGACGGTGCTGCCGCCCCGGACGGGCAGGGGGGGACACACAGACACCCCCCAGGGGGACACCCGAGGGGACGGGGGGGCTCAGACACAATGGGGCCATTGAGGGGCCGCGCCGGGGGGTCCCGGCCCTTCCTGCCCAGACACAATAGGGGCGGCCCCGAGCGCTTTGTGCGGCCGCCGCCCCCCGGCCCCTCCTCTCCGTCCCCCCGGGGATAATGGAGCGGCTTTGTGTGCTCGGCTGGACCAGGGCTCGGCGGCCGAGAGGGAGAACCGGTGTTTGTCTGCCCGGGGGGGAGCGGATCGGCCGGGAAAGGGCCGGGCAGGAGCGGCGGGAGCGGGGCCGGGAGCGGCAGCGTTGGCCTTGCACGGCCCCGGCGCTGCGGCGGCATTCCCGGGGCTGCCGGGGATGGATGGATATTCCTGGTCCTGCCGGGGAATGGGCATTCCCGGGGCTGCCGGGGATGGATGGATATTCCTGGTCCTGCCGGGGAATGGGCATTCCCGGGGCTGCCGGGGATGGATGGATATTCCTGGTCCTGCCGGGGAGCCCGGGGCTGCTGGGGATGGATGGATATTCCTGGTCCTGCCAGGGAATGGGCATTCCCGGGGCTGCTGGGGATGGATATTCCTGGTCCTGCCAGGGAATGGGCATTCCCGGGGCTGCCGGGGATGGATGGATATTCCTGGTCCTGCCAGGGAATGGGCATTCCCGGGGCTGCCGGGGATGGATGGATATTCCTGGTGCTGCTGGGAATGAATATTCCTGGTCCTGCCAGGGAATGGGCATCCCTGCTGCTGCTGGGGATGGATATTCCTGGTGCTGCCTGGGAATGGGCATTCCTGGTGCTGCCAGGAATGAGCATTCCCAGTGCTGCTGGGAATGGATATTCCCGGTGCTGCTGGGGAATGGGAATGTCCAGTCCTCTCTGGGAGCTTGGAGTGGTGCAGCCTGGTGACTGTGATGCTGCTGGACCTGTCACTCAAACCCCATCCCTGGTCAAACCCATCCCATCCCAGTGACCCTTCCAGTGACCATCCCAGTGACCATCCCAGTGACCATCCCACCAAACACCGACTCCCATCACAAATCCCCAGTGGCAGAGGGTCAGTGTCCCCCTGCCTGGCTCTGTCCCTCCCCCCCAGCCCCTGAGATCCCCCCCTGGCCACCATTCCTGGGGTTGGGATCAACAAAACCTACGGGAGATGAATTCCCTGCCCGCCTCACTCGTGCTGTACCAGCATTCCAGGATGGGAATGGGATGGAATAACCCCTGGCTTCGGTGTAGCCAGAGCTGCAAAGAGCAGGATTAATAAGAACCAGGCTTTAATTTCAGCAGCCCTAGACAGGTCCTTTTTCCTGCAGCATTCCCAGCTCCACGTCAGGCGTTCAAGGAATGGGGGAGCTCTGAAGACGATGGTCCTTGCTGCTCCAGCAGGGCAAATCCAGCCCTGGCACCATCCAGCTGGGAAAACTGCTGGATTGCAGCCCAGGCAAGCATCCAGCATTGCGTGGGTACACACGTGTGCCCGTGGGGACACGCCAATGCCACGCGTGTGCCCCGTGGCTCCGCTCGGAGCAAGGTCGGGGTCCCTCCGGCAGCGAAGGCTGCACAAAGCAGAGCTGAAAACTGGGATTGTTCCCTGACAAACCAAGGCTGGAAACTTCACATTTATCCTGGGGATTGGGGCAGGGGTTTAAACCGCTGAGATTTGGGTTCTGAAATCGGGTCCGACCTCGTCGATTCTGCAGGTGCTGATATTTGGTGAAAACATGGAATTTTGCTTCCCCGGGTTTCAGCCTGATGGGCCTGTGCTCCCTGTTGGGCACTCAGGGGACATTTGCCAGCCCAGGCCCTTCCTAAGGGGTCAAGGTAGGGTTGTGACTTCTGGAAAAGCCCAAATCCCATTGCACCGGGGGCGGGTTCATCCCCCCCGTGCTCCAACAGCACATCCCGGGATTCCCACCCCGCACAACGGGCGGCATTTTGAGGCGACTGCGGCCACCAGGCTGGAGGTGACATCTCAGCAGCACATCCCTCTTCCCCAGGATATCCTCCTGCTGGATTTTGGGGTCGGTGTGGCCGTGCAGGGTGAGCACCTCCAGCAGCATCACCCCGGGGCGCCCCAATCCCACATCCCGGGTGCCCTCGGGGCTGAGCCGGGCGGGGGAGAGCGGCTGGACCGAGGAGGGGATGATTAGGGTGGCCTGTGGAGTAATTATCTCATTGGGCAACTAATACCCTTTCAGCCGGAGCGGGGTGGGGAAGTATTGTTCGGGCTTAGGGATTACATCAACCCGCTGGAGCAGACAATGTGCTCCCCCTGGGAAGAGGCAGCTCAGCCCCAGGGGGAGAGGAGGGAGGCAGGGGCCGGAGCTGTCTCAATTAGCGAGTGTCCCGGCGAGGAAGAGGGTGGTGGGGGCTCCTGGGGGGGGGACGTTGAGCATCTTTAACCCTTCGTGCTCCTCCCTCGAGGGCCACTCAGTCCGTCACCCCCTCGCTGAGCCCTGCCAGGACACGGGGGTGCCAGCAGGGCTGGATGTGTCTCCTCCTGCCCGCCGTGCCAGGCAAAGCGAAGCACGGCCGGTTTTCCCCTTTTTTCTGCCCTGTTTTCTTCCCGACAGCCCAATGCCAGCCCCTTCCAGGCTCCCAGCCGTGGGGACAGGCAGGGACCTGCCAGCTGGGGACACCAGAGGGGCCGGGCAGGAACAGCAGAGCGGCCAGGCAGGGGCGAGCAGGGCAGGGGCGAGCAGGGCACGTGCCCGTCCTCAGCCCCCCCCAAAAAAACCAGCAGCGAGGAGGACGACAACGACACAGCGACACAGTGACAGCCCCACAACGACAACGACGGCCCCACACACCCTCACACGGCATTTGGGGCCCAGCAGGTCCTCGGCATCCCCCTGGACCGCCGGCTCCCGGGCTGGGGCGGGGCTGGGGGGGGTATTTTTGGTCGGGTTCGCGGTAAATGAGGCGTGAGCCCGGGCGGGCCGGCGGCGGCCACCGCGCCAGGTTAGCGGCGGAGCGAGGGGGCCGGGCCGGCTCCACCTGGCCCTCGCCATCCGTGGGGGTGATGATTAAACACCGGGGCTCTCCCAGCTGCCATACATTTTTAAATAAATGAATAATACATAGAGGGGGTGATAAATAAATAACGGGCCCCCGTACATTTTGAACTTAGCCTCTGAGAAAAATCCTTTTAGTTCAAAAGGACCGGGGGGCGCGCTCGGGAGAGGGGGGGAAGCCCATGCATTTTGAATGGGGCTGCCATCGAGTGTCAGGGCTTGGCAAGGGAGACGAGGGGGAGAGGGAGGGAAAGGGGGGGAAGGAGGGAGAAAACCGGCCTCGACACACGCGGGGGGAGGCGGGGAGGGACGGGGATGAGGGTCCTTGGGCATGGCTGTGGTGGGATCAGGCGGCTGAGGATGCCCCGGTGCCAGGCACTGGATCCTCGGGAAGGAGGAGGAGGAGGAGGAGGAGAAGGATGGGGGGGTAGCTGTGGCAGGTGAGTGGCACGTGAAAGGTCGGGTCCCGTGTCGAGGAGGAGCCCCCGTTTAGCAGAGCAAAGGCAGCCTTTACTCGGCAGTGGCCCGATATAAAGAGGTGGGTGGCCCTGGAAGGCAGCCCAGACAAATACAAGGGGATTAGCCGAGGGCAAGGTGTGAGCAGAGGGGTGAAGGGAGGGGAGGACGGGCAGGGAGAGCCGTGAGCGGGGGCATCACGGGCTGCCCGGAGCGGGGAAGTGGCACCGAGGCACAGGAGGGTGGGGTGTGGGTGTGAGGGACCGGGTTATCCCCTTTGGGGGGAATCCAGGGAACCCCCAAGTCACAGGAGAGGGAGGTGGGATCAGCTCTGGGGCTGCCCCAGATCCCTGCACAGGGTGCCTGGTGGCACAAACCTGCCCTGCCACGTGCCCCTGCCAGGGCAGCCACGCACACACATGTGTTCTGGCGGGGCACAGCCGCCCACATGCATGGCACCTGTGTCCCTGCCATGTACACACATGTCCCAGCCATGCACAGCCATGCACATGTATGTTCTAACCATGCACAGCCACCCACATGCACCTCCGGGCCACGCACAGCCATGACACGCGTGTCCCAGCCACGTACACGCGTGTCCTGGCCACGCCCATGTGTGTCCTAGCCATGCACACACACGTTCCAGCCACACACAGCCATGTACACGTGTGTCCTGGCCATCCACAGGCGTGTCCCAGCCGTGTACACACGTTCTGAC